GGTGACCAAAGAGACAAAAAAAACCAGAATTATTTAGGGCCTATTGTCCATGTAGGGTAAGGAAGAAAGTCACGTCTAGGATAATGTGCAGATTAATTAGGTAACCATTTTTGTAATGGTTTACATGGAGAGATGTTGCATTCACTTTTTAGCAAATTTAAGTTTATAAACTATAGACCATAAAGTTGGAGATATTTGATAGTTTAATGTGGATCTGGAGTGTAGGAATGGGATCTGAACTGAAGCTGTCTATTTAGAAGTCCTCAAAATATAGATGCCATTGCATATTTGTGATTTTAGCAGCACTTAGGAGGCTAAATCACAAGAATTTCAAGTTCATGGTCAGCATGGGCTATATACTGGAAGCTATAGTGTTGAGTAAGATTACTAACTTAAAGTAGTTTAGGAGAACCCAAAGGTAGGACTTACAAGAACACCACTGACATTTAGAGTTCAAGAAAAGAAAGTTGAAAATGTAGCTTAATTGGTTGAGTGCTTGCCTAGCATTCACAAAGCCATGGTGCCTTCAGTCCCCAGCACTGTATAAACCAAGCATGGTGGTGGTGCACACTTGTGATTTCAATATTGGGGAAGTTGAGACTAGAATATCAGGAGTTCATTGTCACCCTCGACTGTGAGTTCCAGGCTGGCCTGGGCTGCATTAAATAAACAAGTAAAAGCTGGGCATGCTGGCACACACCTTTAACCATAGCATTATGGTAGCACTCTGGAGGCAGAGGCAAGTGGATCTCTGAATTTGAGGCCAGCCTGATCTATGTAGCAAGTTTCAGGTCTGCCAGAACTACATGATGAGACCCTATCACAAACAAAACAGAAGATGTCCGTAAAATAGATCAGTGAGATAATGAGTAAGAAAGTAAAATGTGAATCCAGGTGAGTTATTTCGAGAACCTAGAGAAGAGAGAATAAAAGGTAGGGACTAGAGTAGCAGCCAGGTGTGAATTGCCTGGAAGTGCCAGGGACTAGTCAAATTGGAGACAATTGTTCTGTAGCATTATTGGGTGATTTTGATAACTCTCTACTTAGTGCCGAAATGTATGAGCTAAGTTATTTGAAAATTGGGATTTTTGCCTGTTAAGCAGCACGGAAGAACAGAAGGGTAAAGCTATATAGAATGTTTTAAAAATGGATGGATGATGTAATAGCTTCATTGTAAGGATTAAAGGTAACCAAAAAGGAATTGATAAGAAGGTATTTTTAAAGGGTTTTAAAAAATTTATTATTTATATTTGTGTGTGTATATGTACACCTGAGTGTGTGTGTGGGCAGGGTTCTCAAGGTCACATGTGCATGCCTGCAGAGATCAGAAGAGGAAATCAGATCTGGAGCTGGAGTCACAGGTGGCTATGAGTCACCCAGCATAGGTACTAGGAACCGAACTTCAGTTTGTTTCATTTTGCAGTGGGCCAGATGGAACCCAGGGCCTTGGAAAATGCTGAGCAAGTATTCTACCACTGAGCTATACAAGCCCAGAGCTTCAGGTTCTTAATAGATTCAAACTGCAAATGAAGAAAAGGGAATGAAACCAGAACATGAAAGAACTTGGTCATTTTGGGACGGTGGTTCAGTATTTTAGAGGTGGAATAATAATCATGTAGTGTTCAAACCTCTTGGTTCTTCAGTTTTTGGTAGGTTATGTATTTGGATGTTAACAGTGAAGGAATTTAGAATAGAGAAGGTATATGTGTTTAGGATGACTGAGAAAATAGTTTAAGCTTAGTAGATGGCAGGGACATGGGTCAACTAGCTAGAAGATTTCATCTCAAAGGAAGACTTTGTTTTTGGTTTTAGTGGAGTGACAATGTTGAAAATTATAATAGAGGAAAAAAAGAAGTCTGAGTCATAGACCATGGAAAAACAAGTAGGATCCACATTGAAAAAAATATTTTCCTTTAGGAGAACCAAGATTTAATTAAGCTAAAGAGAGAAGTATTGTCTGAAGTAGTTTGTGTGTGTAATGGGAGAAGGTAGTTTTTGTTTATTGGTATCCTATGAGAATTATAGAGTCCTCAGTAAAAATGTTTAGGAGAGAACAATCAGAAGAAAAATAGCATGAAGAAAAGGACAGTAAGCATAAAAGTACAGTGACTATCTTGGATATCTCTCAATAATGAATGGCAGTAATAGGAAGCATTGATAGGGTTGACTGATCACAGGAGAAAAGTTGTTCATTTGGCACAGGCTACATGTGTCTTAGTTGGAGGCCTGAAAGGACTAAGATTTTGCAGGTCTTGCTTAGAATAAGGGACAATATTAATTCCCAAGATTCTTTGCTTATTGATAGACAGTAAGAAAACTGTTCCTCTTCCACCCCTGATCAGTCTGTATTTTCAGATTTCTATATATATATATATATATGTTTCTCTGTGTAGTTCTGGCTGTCATGGATCTCACTCTGTATGCCAGGCTGGCCTTGAACTCACAGAGATAAACCTGCCTCTGTCTCCTTGAGTGTGGGATCAAAGGCATGCGCTCTGCTTTGTTTTTAAGATAAGGTTTTGCTGTATTAGTCCAGTCTGACCTGAAACTATGGTGATCAGGCTGGTCTTGAATTCATGACAACCCTTCTGCCTCAGTCTCTAGGAGTACAGCTATCTCAGCTAAGGCTATTAATTAGTTTTATTTTATTTATGCCATCTATGTGTGTGTGTGTGTGTATATACAGGTGCACATAGATATGTGGGTGGAAGCCAGACTCCCTCAAGTGTCATTCCTCCTTTTGAGCTGTAGTCTAGTTATTGTTAGTTTTTGATAATATGTATTTATTTTGTGTGCATGCACACATGTATGCACATGATATTGTGAGTGTATAGGTGGTCAGAGAACAACTTTATCCTCTGTCATATGGGTCTCTGGGATCAAACTCAGGTTATCAGGCTTAAAGACCAACACTTTGACTCACTGAGCCATCTCATCCCACCTACCACCACCACCACCACCCCGATACACACTTGCTTTTTGAGACAGGGTTCTCACTGGAACCTGATTTTCAGAGTAAGCTTTGCTGACTTGCCAACAGCTATTTGTAAATATTGTTTCATTGTAAAGTTGGTGATTACTTGTGGAAATCATAAATACATACTGCAGGAGTGGGGAAAGCATACTATTTCAATATTAAGACTAATGGGAACTCTTGGGTAAAGTTAACAGTAAAAGAATTTTGTGAATATTTAAAAATCATATATGGGGCTGGAGAGATGGCTCAGAGGTTAAGAGCACCGACTGCTCTTCCAGAGGTCCTGAGTTCAATTCCCAGCAACCACATGGTGGCACACAACCATCTGTAATAATGAGATCTGGTGCCCTCTTCTGGTGTGCAGATATACATGGAAGCAGAATGTTGTATATATAATAAATAAATAAAATAAAAAAATCATTATATACCATGTAACTAAGATTGAAGTGAAAATGATTTGCTTTTGAAGTGTTATAATTCCAATAGGAAAAAATGTATTATTAAAGATGTATATAAAGGCAAGGTGAAAGTAGTGTGTGAATGAGTAGGTGTAAAAAGCAGTATTTCTAAATTATGAATTGTTATTTTAAGTGTATATGTGGGCAATAAAATAACTTAAATTACATAGGTAAGCATTTGGCTTTGGTTTTATCTACATCCCTAAAAGATCATATTAAAGTTGATCAGAAAACATTATTTTTATGTTTATATTAAGAACATGGAAGATGGATTGGCAATGGTAAAGGCACCAGGTAAAGGCACTTGTTGCCCAACCCTGGCAACCTGAGTTCGATCCTGGAACCTATGTATAGATGGAAGTAAAAAAAAACCAACCCTACAAATTTCTTCTGACTTCCACACACATATTGTGGCATATACACTCACATACATCATGTAGACCAATGGTTCTCAACTTTCCTAATGCTATTACCCTTTTATACAGTTCCTCATGTGTAGTGACCCCCCAACCATAAAATTACTTTTGTTGCTACTTCATAACTGTAATATTGCTACTATTATGAATCATAATGTAAAAATTTTGTCTCCAATGGTCTTAGGTAACTCCTGTGAAAGGGTCATTTGGCCCCTAAAGGGGTCACAACCTACAGGTTGAAAACCACTGATGTAGACACATATACATACTATAATACTTGTTTTAAAAATAACATGGAAAATTATCTTATATTTGTGTTTTATTTCTATTCAGGCTAATATAGTAATAAACTATATTTTATAATTTGAATATGCATTATAGAGAGTTCTGACTAAAAATGTTTTGTAGTGAAATAAAAACTTGAGTTATCTTGAAATTTTTTTGAATAATTCTCAACAAAAAACATGTATATAGCTTATTATTCTCCCCCTCCCCCCAAGTACTAGGGATTGAATCTAAGACCTTGCACTTTGAAGCAAGCACTCTGCCACTGAGCCCAGGTCTTACATAGTTTAGCTAAGTAACTTTCTTCATTTATATTTGTTTGTCTGCTGATTTATTTTTAAGGCAAGCTCTCAGTAGTCTAGGCTGATCTCAGATTTGCTAGGTTCTAGACCTAAGTAGCTTAATAGAACTGTAGAAACTTGGTTTTGGAGGAACACCTGTAATCCCAGCATTTGGGGGAGGGGGTGTTTGAAGCAGGCAGTTTTTTATGAGTTCATGACCACCCTGGTCTACATAGTGAATTCCAGGAGAGCCAGTGCTATATAGTGAGACACGGGGGGGGAGAAAAACATATATATATATATATATACATACATACATACATACATACATACATACATACGCATACTTACCTAACATGTAGGAGGAGGACCTGGGTTTCATCTCAAAACTACACACAGAGTAATGTTATTTGATTACTTTTAGAAAAATTTTGTTTAAAATAACACTTCTATTCATTAAATGAAGAAGAAAACCTGCTTTTCTCATGTATGTTTAAAATTTTCAATTTTATCTAAATCCAATTATTAGTTTCTGTGTTAATATATTGTTACTTATTTTATGTTCATTAAAAAAAAAATACAGCTGTCCCTTTTCCCCCAACTCATCGGTTGACATCTGAAGAAGTATTTGATATGGATGGGATACCCAGGGTTGATGTTCTAAAGAACCACCTGGTAAAAGAAGGTCGGGTAGATGAAGAAATTGCACTTAGAATTATCAATGAGGGCGCTGCCATACTGCGGCGGGAGAAAACCATGATAGAAGTAGAAGCTCCAATTACAGGTAAACTTACTTGTGTTTTGGATATTATTAAACCAGTATTTAGTTAATTGGAGATAAGGCTATTTTCTTTTCAGTCACATATACTGATTAATATTATATGGACATTGTATTGATTTTATGTATTTTAAGTTTTTGTTTTTTAGTAAGTGTACATGAAGCTAGTCTAATATGCTTTTATGAAGGTTTCATCAGTTATGTTGGCCATACTTTAATTTGATTCAATATTTACTTTGCTCTTAATTACTAGTGGAAAAACCTTGATATCAGTTAGAATCCTAATGTGATCATTTGAAGGTCATTGAAAATTACAAAGTTGAAATGGGGGTTTTATTGTCAGCATTATAATGTTGTCATCCTGTGAAGTGCTTCCTTAGCTTCTGAAAGAGAAGCTTTATAAATTTAGATGAAAAATTCATTACTGACAAATCTTGTTACTTCTGTTACATCTTGTTTTAGATCTTGAGCACATGAGCACTTGGTTAGGTATCATCCCTAAGGTGACTCTTCTTACTTAGGCCATTCTTCAGATATTTCTTGATAGCATTTATACTATCATGTTACAGTGGTAGAGTTTACGTAATATTTGTTAATTCAGAGTCTTTTTTTCATATCTAATAATCTTCTTGTTTCAGTGTGTGGTGACATCCATGGCCAATTTTTTGATCTGATGAAACTTTTTGAAGTAGGAGGATCACCTGCTAATACACGATACCTTTTTCTTGGTGATTATGTGGACAGAGGTTATTTTAGTATAGAGGTAATAACCATATACCGTCATTTGATTTGCTGTTGTTAATATAGATTATTTCTATTAACTCCTAGTACAATAAGTTCCTAAAAATACTTGCATTGGGTTCTTTTTAATACCTCTGTATATTCTGAAATTCATAGGAAAAGCTGTTATTTATTCCTTTTTCAGACCATTCAATTAGTTTTCTTTGTATCATTTATTATTATAATTATTGTTTTTCTCCCAGTGGAAATGATGAGCGGACTGAGGCCTTTATTGTCTTTATCTCATGGCTTATGAGCTAATGATAGTCATTTCTTTACCTCCCTTGCCACTAAGAGCATTAAACCATGAGAAAAATTTTATTTTCTTTAAGTGAAGCCTTATGTACTTTTATTGCTTAAACTGTTGATTTATTTCATTATGATGCTATTGAGACTCAAGAATATTTGAAACAATTTTTTTTAACTTAAGAGGCATTAAAATGACCTATTCTTTGTCACTTAATTCAATGATTCTTTTTGCTCTTTTCCTTTTTGATTATATAAAAAAGTATGGAAAATACAGAATATATATCTGTTCTTTATTTAAATGAAAAATGAAACCATATTAATGTTTTTTTCTATCTTGTCTTCACATATCTGTACACTGTGATGTTTTTACAGATTAGTAAATAGAAACCTACAGAGTCATTTTAGTAGCTTCCATTGAATAAACAAGCTATAAGTTCTTGTTAGACACTTAAGGTTCCCAAGTTTTTTCATTACAAGTGATGTGTTATTGGGACATTGTAGTCCTATATTTCTGTGTATTTATCCTGTTATTTCTATAGGACATATTTGTAGGTAGACTTGCTTAGTGTAAGCTCTATCAGTATATAATTTATGTTACACATTTAATATATTCCAACCAGGTTTAAGCATTAACAGATACTGGTTAATTTAGTCCTCACAACATTGTTATGAGGTAAGTACTATTATTTATCCATTCAGTAGTTGAGGGTTGAAGTTAAAGTAACTTGGCCAAAGTTAATATAGTTAGTAAGTGGCACAGTCAAGCAGTCTGACTCTAAGCTTGTGCTTTTAATTACCTGTCCTAATAGGTATTGAGGCCTTCTTACCTAGAAAATTTCCGTTATACTTAGTGTTATGTATATCTACTTTTAAGGTGTTATCAGATATTGTACTTCTTAGTAAAAACTTTGGGACTGTGTCCATTCCTTCCCTTAGTAATTTTATTATCATAGGCTGTTCTTCCCATTCATAGTTTCATTATCAAATCCTTTAATCTTTGCTGAATTACCTCAAGGCTTTAAGAAAAATTAGAAAATGCTCCTGTCTAACATAATTTAGTGTAATTGATAAAATCAGTAAAGTAAAACTTAGTTGTTACTGAGCATGTTGGTGTATATGTACTCATTTAAGACTGTTTTGTAGCTTAGTTAATAATATTGTTACAAAAAAAGAAGATGAATCAAAACCAAGAACAGTTTTAGTAGATGTTTCTTTGGCTTTATTACCTTTTTTCTTTTTCAATAAAATGAAGGTCTTAATAGTTACGCACTTCAATGTACTTGGTTAAAATAATTTTTCTCTTTATTTACCTATTTATTTATTTGGTTTTTTGGAGCTGGGTTTCCACTGTAGCTTTGGACCAGGCTGGCCTCAAACTCACAGAGATCTGCCTGCCTCTGTTTCCCTAGTTCTGGGATATTGATTGTATAAACCATATTTATTTCTACATGAATTAGTCCTTCCTACTTAAAACAGTACATAAATGATAGTTTTTTATTTTAAATCTAGAGAAATGCATGTATGCAAAATGCTGTTTGTTTCAGTGTTATAAAAATTGGATTTTCTTTGAAGTGGATTAGATCAGTCAGTGGTTCTCAACCTTCCTAATGCTGCCACCTTTAATACAGTTCTTCATGTTTTAGTGACCCCCCCCACCATAAAATTATTTTTGTTGCTACTTCATAACTGTAATTTTGCTACTGTTATAGTGTAAATATCTGTTTTCTGATGGTCTTAGGCTACTCCTGTGAAAGGGTCAGTTGACCCCAAAGGGGTTGGGACCCAGAGTTTTAGAACCACTGCATTAGATAATAAACACCTGCCTTATGTAAGGAAGGGTTTGCAAACAACAGAGGAAACATAGAACTTGGCCCTTGTGATAGACAATGTGGCATAATGCTTAAGATGGAAAGGATCAGCCGGGGGATAGAGGCGCACGCCTTTAGTCATAGCACTTGGGAGGCAGAGGCAGGAAGATCTCTGTGAGCTCCTGAGGCCAGTCTTGTCTACAAAGCAACACAAAGAAACCCTGTCTGGCAAGACAAAAAAAAAAAAAAAAAGATAAAAGATAAAAGGATCAAAACTTGTTTTTGTTCCTTCAGAGCTTTTTGATTTTGAACAAGTTACTTAGCTTACTGATTTAGTTTCCTTATATATAAAATAGAGGTAATATGATAATTGCTTTTTGGCCGTTTGGCTAAGATAAAGTGGAGATGTTTGAGAAATAGAGAACTTTTTTTTTTTGGTTTTTTGAGACAGAGTTTCTCTGTATTCTTTGGAGCTGTCCTGGAACTCTCTCTGTAGACCAGGCTGGAATCAAACTGACAGAGATCCACCTGTTTCTGCCTCCCGAGTGCTGGGATTAAAGGCGTGTGCCACTAATGCCCAGCTAGAAAACATTTTTTGTTTGAGGAAAATTATCAGACACTCTTGTGCTCAGTACATTGTAAGTACTCTATAATTTTTTTTAAAAAATTAACAAGTAAGCCAATTTGCTAATCTACTTTAAACAATCTGTAAATCTTAAGTAATTCAGTAGATTGAATTATTAATTCAATAAGTATTCATTGTTCTATTTGCTAGATACTTTTCTAGGACAGTCAGAAGCAGTAATACAAAGTCTAATTTTATAAAGCTTATATTTATTAAGGAATAAAGAGCAATAATCAAGAGTATCAGAATGTGTAAGGTTAATATAGTTTAAAGAAAAAGAAGCAAAGATCAACTTAGTTAAATAAAAGAAAAGAAAAATTCACTGGAAACATTTTCTTTTGCAGTGTGTTTTATATTTATGGGTCTTGAAGATTCTATACCCAAGCACATTATTCCTTCTGAGAGGCAACCATGAATGCAGACACCTTACTGAATATTTTACCTTTAAGCAGGAATGTGAGTACTTTCAGGAAAAATATTTTCAATTCTTTGATGTTCTTTTGGGATGACATGGGTAGTAAGAGATATGAAGACTTTGTAGTATAACACATAACAGATTCTGCAGCACATGCACATGTTTTAGAAAATGATGTTAAAGACTTTCAATTTTATTTTCTGTTGAGTTTTATGGATGTACCTAAGAACAGTTTAAATTTTTTTTTATATTTTTGAATGTCTTTAAAAAGTGGTGTGATAATTTTATGTATTTATAAAGCTATATATAGTTAACAAAGACTAAGGGTGATGGTGGTATGGTTCCATGACAGATTTTTATCAAAGGATTTATTTTTATTTTATGTGTGTAAGTGTTTTGCCTGCCTATATGTATGTGCACCACATGTGTGCCTGCAGGTCAGAAGATCCCTGGAACCTGAGTTACAGATGGTATGAGTTGCCATGTGGGTGCTTGGAACCTAACTCTGTAGTCTTCCTTTGCAGATTTTTATGTCTCAATATTGAGGCATCCTGAAAAACATACATTTTTTGTATAATTTTTATTTAAATTAGAAACAATCTCATTTTAAATATCAATCCCAGTTCCCTCTTCCTCCCAGCCTCCCATGCCCCCACCAATCCCCCATCCCACCCCCATCTACTCCCCAGGGAGGGTGATGCCTTCCATGAAGGGTCATCAAAATCTGTCAAGTCATTTGGGGCAGGGCCTAGGTCCTCCCCTTTGTATCTAGGCTAACATACATTTATCTTGTCATAACTATAGACCATTTCAAACATACTGTTAATGAACTCAAATTATTATTTTTTAAAAATTTATTTGTATTATTTTAAATTGTGTGTGTGTGTGTGTGCGCGCGCGCGCTATGTATATATGTACATGTGTGGAGGTATGCATTGAGGCCAGAGGCATCAGATATTTATGGAACTGGAGTTACAGGTGGCTATGAGCAGCTTGCTGTAAGTGCTGGGAGCTGAGCTCAGGTCTTGTGGAAGAACAAGTACACTTAACCACTGAGCCACCTCTCCAGACCTAAATTCAAATTTTTTTCCAATATATTTGTTATCAATTTATTTTTTACATTCCAATCCCAGTTCCCCTCCCTCCTCTCCTCTCACTCACCCCACTTATCCCCCACTCCACCTCCCATCTGCTTCTCGGAGAGGGTAAGGCCTCCCCTAGTACTCTACTAAGTCTCTCCCATCATCTGGTTGAGGCAAAGCATCCCCTCCCCAACCCCCACTGTCTCTAAGCTGAGCAAGGCATCTCTCCATATCGAATGGGCTCCACTAAGTCAGTTTGTGCATTAGAGTTAGATCTTGGACCCTGACAGTGGCCTCATATATTGTCCTAGTCACACCATTGTCACCTATATTAAGGGAGTCTAGTTTGGTCTTATGCACGTTCCCCATTTATAAGTCCTGAGTCAGTGATCTCTCACTAACTCAGGTCAGCTGATTCTGTGGGTTTCCCCATCATGGTTTTGACTCTTTTGTTCATATTACCAATCCTCCCTCACTTCGATTGTACTCTGGGAGCTTGGCCCAATAGTTAGTTGTGGATTTCTGTGTCTGCTTCCATCTGTTTCTGGAAGAGGGTTCTAGCTTCTCTGGGGTTGTGGATTGTAGGCTGGGTATTTTTTGCTTTATGTCTGGTACCACTTATGAGTGAGTACATACTATATTTGTCTTTCTGGGTCTGGGTTATCTCACTCACGATGGTTTTTTCTAGTTCTGTCCATTTGCCTGCAAATTTTAGAATGCCATTGTTTCTTACCGCTGAGTAGTACTCCATTGTGTAAATGTACCACATTTTCCTTATCCATTTGTTGATTGAGGGACATCTAGGTTGTTTTCAAGATCTAGCTATTATGAATAATATTGCTATGAACATAGTTGAGCAAATGTCCTTGTGGTAAAAGTGTGCCTCCTTTGGGTATATGTCCCAAAGTGGTATTGCAGAGTTTTGAGGTAGGTGAATTAAAATTCTTAACCTACAGTATTTATCCCTTTTTTTCTTTCAAATAAAGCAATAATAATCTATCAGCCATATATGATGATATAGAACAGTACTGGTCTCTTTTCACACTTAAAATTGGGCCTGTTTAATATCTGCAACCATATTAAGTCTTTGAATTAAGTGCTAATGATATTAGAGGGACTCCTTACAAATACAAAAATCTATGTAAGTCTGTAAAATTTATAGTATTTGCTTATAACTTGTGTATATCCTCTCATAGACTACCTTTAATACCTAATATGGCATAAATGCGGTGAAAATGACTAAAGTTATTGTCTTGTTTAGGAAATATTGAAAGGGAACAAATAAGTTCATGTGTTATTATTATGGCATTATTTTTGTTCTGAATAACTTTGATCAGAGGTTGGCTTAGTCCACAGATGAATAACCCACTAATACAGAGAACTGATTGTAATTTTAGAACTGACTGGGCATAGCGCCATGTGTGTTATAGAGGAAGAAACAACGTAAAATAAAGCCATCTAACATCAAGACTAAGGCAATCAAACATAAGATGAAATATGGAAAAATACATGTTAAGAGTTCAAATTAAAATTTTTATTAAACCACATTACTAAACAGTTGGTCCATCAGTTAAGATTCCCTGGGTGCTAGACATATAGGGATTTTTTTTTTTAGATTTATTTATAATTATATACATATATGCATATGTGTCTGTCTGGGAGTTCCTGAGTATTGGTGCCTATGAAGACCAGAGTCATAGGAAACCCCTGGAGCAATTAGAGCAGTTGTGAGCCATCTGTAGTGGGTGCTGAAACTGAAACTCCAGTCCTTTGAAAGAGCAAGAAATGCTCTTAGTTGTTGAGCCATATCCCTAGCCCCAGGAGTTTTCTTATGTTTGTTTGTTAACTAAAGATTATGGTTTCATAATCCTCCCTACTCCCATGCATGTGCATATTTTATATTTTTGATTGTGAGCCTAGTCTTTTGTAATGGCTGAGCCATCTCTCCAGACCACATCTGCATATTTTTCCACATGTAGACCCAGGCAGAAAGAGACCTTAGTACCTCTCAGTCAGTACACCCTATGGGTAAGATAGACTTCTGTCTTGAAGTCAGAAATTAATAAGGTTAAAAAAAGAACTATCACATATCCATCAAAAATGTCACTTAAAACATCTAGAAATTTGGGGCTGGAGAGATGGCTCAGAGGTTAGGAGCACTAACTGCTCTTCCAGAGGTCCTGAGTTCAATTCCCAGCAACCACATGGTGGCTCACAACCATCTGTTATGAGACTGGTACCCTCTTCTGGTGTGCAGATATACATGGAAGCAGAATGTTGTATACATAATAAATAAATAAAATCTTTAAAAAAAATCTAGAAACTTAAAGGCATACTGGACTCAGGAATATGCCTATTTCCTTAAAAATAAATGATAGTTTGACTTGATAGAGTTTTATCTTTTATGTGTTTCTGTTTGGCTTTCTGCTTTATTGCCTATTTTAAGCCTTCATTTAGACAAGAGGAATCTGGTACTTCTCCAGTTTTTTAAGTGGGGTGAACTTTGTATTTCGTTGTGATGATTTGGTGGTCTTACTGTAATAATAATTTTAGGATTGTTTAGTATTAGAATTAAGTTAGTGTTAAAACTTTAATCCCAAAGTACAGTTTTAAATTTTTAAATTTTATTTTATGTGCATTAGTGTTTTGCATGGGTGTTTCGTCCCCTGGAACTGGAGTTTAGACAGTTGTGAGCTGCCATGTGGGTGTTGGGAATCAAACCCAGCTTCTCTGGAAGAGCAGTCAGTACCCAGCCTGGCCCAGTCCTTTTAATTTTTTTTTTTATTTGTCCTATGGAAGTTCAAATTTGAACTGTTTAGAGAGATTTCATTTACTTATTTTTAATATTTTGGGACTGTCTACAGCATATCCAAAATAAAGTTAAAGAGAACAATTTATCTTTGTGAGGCTCATAACTTTGCTTATTTCTGTTGAGTCTTAGGATGGAAGAGGCTTTTAAAAAAAACTATGTACAGTAAACCATTCTTTGTGATGTTGTATTTCTGTGAATTTTAACAATTGCAAAACATTGCCCATGACTATATTCATGATACAGAAGTTTCCTTGTGCAGGAAATTCATTTTTGCTGATTTTTGTTGTTGTTGTTTCTTTCTTACTCAGTCTCAACTTCTACTCCACTTAGGTGTTTTCTGTGTTACAGTTTCCTTACTTTGGTTTTGGATTTTTTGTTTTGTTATTGTTGTTTTGGTTTTTTGAGGCAGGGTTTCTCTGTGTCTTTGGCGGATGCCCTGGAACTAGCTCTTGTAGACCAGGCTGGTCTCGAACTCACAGAGATCCACCTGCCTCTGCCTCCCAAGTGCTGGAATCAAAGGCGTGCGCCACCACCACCCAGCTTCATTGCTTTGGTTTTGGTAGTCAGTTTAGAACATTTCCCTTTAATAATTGAAACCAGCTGTTCAAAATTCACTAAAAAAGAAGAAAACTGTAAAATACTATGAAGAGAATAAGAAATTAAAATCCAGTGTTGGTGTATATTTTATGAGTAACTGGGCCTGTGAGATGGCTCAGTAGATAAGGCACTTGCCACCAAACCTGATAATCTGAGTTAAATCATCCAAACCATGTTATGGAAGAAGAGAACTCAATCTTGGAGTTGTTCTTTTTTTCTTCACATATATGGCATACACACACACACACACACACACACACACACACACACGTAAATGTAAAAACAAATTTTAAAAAGCTAAGGATTTTTAAATGCTAATATTTTTCTTCTAGGTAAAATTAAGTATTCTGAAAGAGTCTATGAAGCTTGTATGGAAGCTTTTGACAGCTTGCCCCTTGCTGCACTTCTAAACCAACAATTTCTTTGTGTTCATGGTGGACTTTCACCGGAAATACACACACTGGATGATATTAGGAGAGTGAGTATAAGCAATCTCTGAAGTTGGATCCTGTTCACAGTATTTTTGATTAGAGAGTTTTTTGTTTTTAAGATAGGGAACTTTCGGGGCTGGAGAGGTGGCTCAGAGGTTAAGAGCACTGACTGCTCTTCTAAAGGTCATGAATTCAATTCCCAGCAACCACATGGTTGTTCACAACCATCCGTAATGAGATCTGGTGCCCTCTTCTGGTGAGCAGGCATACATGGAGGCAGAATGTCTTATACATAATAAATAAATAAAATCTTTAAAAAAAAGATAGGGAACTTGCTCTGTAGATCAGGATGGCCTTGAACTCAAAGATCTGCTTGCCTCTGTCTCCTGAGTGCTGGGATTAAAAGTGTGAACCACCACTACCAGGCTAGCATCATATTTATTTCCACTAGTAAAATTAAGTAATGGTAAAAATTAATGGATTGGTTAACAGACTGACTTGAAGGAAATAACTCCTGATCATTTCGAACAAGGACTATATTCAGGTTGATGTTGCTTTCTTATATATATTCTGGCTTCACTTACTGAGTTATTTCTTCTTTGTGTCTTTTATTTCACAGTTAGATAGATTTAAAGAGCCACCTGCATTTGGACCAATGTGTGACTTGCTATGGTCTGATCCTTCTGAAGACTTTGGAAATGAAAAATCACAAGAACATTTTAGTCATAATACGGTTCGAGGATGTTCTTATTTTTATAAGTAAGGAAAAAATGTCCAAAATTAATCACATTTTAATTATGTAACATAGTTTATGCTTCATACAAAAAGAATTAATTTACTCTTTTCCCCCTACAGCTATCCAGCAGTGTGTGAATTTTTGCAAAACAATAATTTGTTATCGATTATTAGAGCTCATGAAGCTCAAGATGCAGGGTAAGAATTCTGTTTCCCTGACCTAAATTTATACTTGAATACAAATCATACTTAGTAATCATGATTGATGCTTTACGATGCATATTAAGCTATTTGTTTTGCAGCTATAGAATGTACAGAAAAAGTCAAACTACAGGGTTCCCTTCATTAATAACAATTTTTTCGGCACCTAATTACTTAGATGTCTACAATAATAAAGGTAAGATGTTGTTGATAAAAAAAATCTGTATAGACAACTTAGCCTTTTAATTTATTTTAAAAAATAATAGGGGGCACTGTTTGAAACTGTCCAAGTTGCATTAAAAAAAAAAAAAACTAAGATATAAGGGAGGGGAGAGAAAAAGAAATAAAATCGAAAATGTGCAACCTGCTCTTCAGCGTGTTGCTCATAAAGCCATTTGTAAAAGTGCTCAGCGTTAAGCACAATCATAGATGATTTTGAGTTAAGTACAACCACAGATGATTTTCTTAAGCCCCCTCTCTTAAATCTTTCCTTATAACTGAGAGAATGTTTTCATGTCTTTGTAGAGTTGCTGCTATCACTGTTTTGCTTATTTGCACTGTCTACTTGTTTACTTTATCATGTTGTTTGTTTTATGTTCATCAGTACAGGTTTTCTTTCTTTCTTTTTTTAATTTTTAAATTTTTTCTTGTCCCAGTAGTATTAGATTATCCCTTCAAGATTTTATTTGAGCCTTAAAAAAAAAAAAATCCCCTATGGTCTACTATTAAAGATAGACTTCTCTTCCTTTTATTTGCCTTTAGCTTTTTCTGTTTGTTTTATAAATATACTCTTCTTTACATCCTATTCCAGTGGTATCCATTTCCCCTTCTTTGCTCCTAATTTGATCCGAGTATAAAGATCGGATTTCAGTTTATTCTGAACATAACTTACTGATTGAGAATGCTTCAGGATCATAATCTAGTTAAATGTGTTCCAGGGACATGAAAGATGAGATGGGTTTTACGTAGTTCACATCTTTAGAGGAGAAAATTTAGAGGACAGCTTCTATTCTGTCTCAAGATGTCTAGAATTCAGTTGACTATTTCATAGCTTCAGAGTCAGACTAGAGTAGATGTGTCAGGAGAACAAAAATCAAAGGTTAAAGATGTTTAAAAAAGTACATTTAGAATAGTGAAGTCATTACTAAATATGGGTTACAGTTTGAAAGAGAATTGTTTTGAAGGCAGTAGACAACAGTTAAAAAATTAAACTTTATCTGTGATTAAACAGCATACTAGATCATTTTGATATAAAATATGCTAAAGGAATATATGGATACCTAATAGAATATGGCTTCAGTTTTGAAAAGTAGCATTCCTAAGTTTATCAAGAACAGAATTGATTGCTGCATCTGTCGGCCAGCACCCTCACTCTTCACCTGTGTTTTCTCTTAATGTAAAAGGAGCAAATAGTCAGTGTTCAGTTGACTGCTGCCTTGGTGCCTATTCTTAGTCAGTTGGACTTAGGAGGCTATGGAAATCAGTTTTTTTAATTTTTAAAATTGAAACTCAAACCAGAGTCTGCTCTGTCAGAATCAAATGTCTCAGTAGTTCTGATTGGTGCATAATTGATGCTTATGTTTTTAGTATTTATATAGAATGGGCATATTTGTGATGTTTCATTCCCACCAATAGGGCAATTTTCTAGATTTCTTATTTTTCCCTTCTCTCCTTTAAATAAAAAGTCTGAAAAGGTTATTATCAACCCATAATTTCTAAGGCTACCCTTAAAATATTTTTCTTCAACTTGTGAGTTGTATAAAGGGGGAAAGCATACCTATTGAATTAACACAGAGCTAGGCTGCTTTTGGTTCTATGCTAGCCAGAATTTCAATTGTTGGATTTAACATCTCCTCTATTTCAGTGCTTTTCATTAGCATAAAAGCGAGAGGTCGATAATCCACTAGATCATAAGGTGAACAGGCTTCTGGCCATGTTTCCAGCCATGATGTAAATAAGATTCCAGCTGAGATTCAAAGCACCAGGCAAATTAATTACAAACTGAAATCTCAAAATTATCAGCCAAAGTAAACCTTTATTTCTGAGTTGAGAAAAGATCACATTTTATTTATTAGATATTTTGTGAGTTAGAGAGATGGCTTAGCTGTTACAGGCTAGGCTCATAACCAAAAATAAAATGTTTTATACTTTTTTAATGGTTTCATGTGGAATACATTTTCTGATCTTAAACTTTTAAGACAGACAGGGTGGATATGTTGTTTCCATTTTATAAATGAACAGACTAGTTAAGTTAGTTGCATAGCTAATTCATGCTATACTTCAGGTTTGAATCAATCTAGCCCTTCTGGTTTGAATCTAGCCCTTCTAATTCCATGTTCCACAGAGTAGTATAACCAGTACCTGAAATTTAATTTGGTTATGGCTTATAATTGTATTGGGACATTAGAAAGATATCTAAAATTGAGGTGAATATATATATCCTAGGATTATTTAGTTATACATTTTTCTCTTCTGGTTATTTTAATGGATGCTTTTTCCCTAAATGAAGTAAAGTATTTCTTTGATGTTGTATTCATCTGATTTCATATACTAAGTGAAAGAAACACATTTATACATTCATAATTTCTAAATTGGAGGGTTTTTTTTTTATTTGTTTACCTTATTGAATTTAGTCTGCTTGCAGTTAAAAGGAATTTAACTTGCTTGCAGTTAAAAGGAACTTCTTTAATTCCTCAACTTTGTGAGATTAAAAAAAAAAAAAAACCTAGAAAATTGCCCTTTGCCATTTTGTGTTCCCCTAAAAATTGATTTTTACAATTTTGGATTAGTGCATGTTCATCATTGGATTATAAAGTAAAACAATCCCTTCTGGAAAGAATCTAAAAGTTTCATTAACAATGAGTAAACATTTTATATTTTTATATATTTTAAATTGGGCATGGTGGCACCCACCTTTAATATTAGCACCTAGGAGACAGGGGCAAACTGAACTGTGTGAGTTCAAGGCTGCTCTATCTACATAGTGAGTTCCAGGCCTGCCGAGGGCTATACAGTGATATCCTGCCTACAGAAGAAAAATAATGTGTGTTATTGTAAAAAATTCATTCCTGTCTCCTACTACCAAATCCAATTCTACTCGCCCCTCTTGTTGTTGTTGTTGTTGTTGTTGTTGTTGTTGTTGTTATTGTTTCGAGACAGGGTTTCTCTGTGTAGCTTTGGAGCCTGCCCTGGAACCTCGCTCTGTAGACCAGGCTAGCCTCAAACTTACAAAGATCCAACTGCCTCTGCTTCCCGAGTGCTGGGATTAAAGGCGTGTGCCACCACTACCCGGCTCATCCCTCTATTTTAAGCAGGCACTGTGCTTTATGTGTTTGAAGCTCTTCTGCCTCAAGACAATTTTCTATATTAATAATCAACTTACCTTGCAGCTGCTGTACTAAAGTATGAAAATAATGTGATGAATATTCGACAGTTTAATTGTTCTCCACATCCTTACTGGTTGCCCAATTTTATGGATGTCTTCACATGGTCTTTACCGTTTGTTGGAGAAAAAGGTATGTTGTTTTTTTTTTTATATTTTGTTTTGTTTTTTTTACAGAATATTTATTTTATTTATTTATTTTGCAGATTTTTTAATTTGAATTAGAAACAAGATTGTTTTACATGACAATCCCAGTTCCCTTCTACCTCCCATCCTCCCCTTCCACCACCCCCAACTAAAGCCCTACCTATAACATATCCTTCAAAATAATTATTTTAATACTTTTACATTTACTCTAGTTTACTATCTTAGACACATAGTTACTAGAGGAAACTGAAGCCTGGTTCCGCTGTGCTTCCAGCTCGACTTGTGTCTGTGGGTGTGGATATGACAGCCTCAAAGATATTTTGGTTCGATGTTTACAGCCCCCATGTGAGGATGTCTGGGGGACTGGGAGAAGATTTATAAATAGCCTGATGTTGTCTTCAGCTGTTGGATTTTCTTTTGTTTTGTTTTAAGCCTAAATCTTTTATGGAGGGTTAGCTTTATTTTGGAATGGACACCTCCTGCATATTCTAACACCATTTGTGGAAATTTCACAGCAGTTTATTGGAGAATTTGATAGCCTTCATTTTGGCAATGTTAGTTATTTTATAGTTCATCTGTATTCTAAGAGAAGTAGAGGAATCCAGATTCTATCCATTAAATCTAATCATAATATTCTCCTATATCAGAAAAATATACATACATTTGTAGTAATCATGCTTTGTGATAAATGTTGGGAAATAGCCATTAAATCTTTACCTTTGACAAATAACCATTAGACTTTTAAAGAGAAAATAAGTGCCTTTGAAGAATATTTTTCCCACTAGTTGTGTAGATTAGGATATTGTTGCCTTCTTTTCCATGTTAGTGTTCATTCTTTTTTCTTTGTTTTTTTCCTTTTTTTTTTTTTAATAAGACAGTGCATCAGATTTAATATGTGGCAAATTGACAATCTGAGAATATAGACAGAATTATAAAACATTTTGTTCTATACCTCCTCTTTTTTTAACACCTCTTCCATGTTACAAAATGTTCCTTTCTCTGTGATATGTCACCTCTGCCAAGGCAATTTTTTGTTCTAAAATTCAGAATTAATAATTACACTGTGTATGTTAGTTTCTGCAGCTTGCCTTTACTCTTCTCCATTTACTTAGGAGGTCTGATGTTACGTTTATGTGGAGATAGAATTACCCATTTTAGCATTTGAGAAGAGGGCTTAGGTGGAAGGGATGTATTACACTTAAACAACCTTCTATCTTTGGAGTATGAGAAATAGTTCAATCATAGCATCGTCAAGCTAAGGGGCATTTAAGAATTCGTCTCTCTCACTGTGTTGTCTCTAGGATAGATTGCAGCTCAACTACTTTAATACAAGCTTGTGAGGGGTGGAGTATGGTGATCAGAAGAATAAAGTAAAGAGAATGGTTATTTTGTTATTACACTTCTGTGTTCTATTTCAAAATAGCTAATGTTTCTGCTGTGAATGTTTAAACAGATCACACCCCGTAAGTGAATTTAATAATTTAAATTATCTTGCTTCTTGTTGAGATATCAGAAAATTTGAGCTGATCTGTTTGTCTGCTACAAGTGAATAGAGGATGGAGAGCAGTAGACTCCTGTTGATATTCCAACATTTGGTTGCTATCAGATGATCTTTAGAAATTAAAATTAAAAAGGGAGGTTTAGTAAAGTTGGGCAAAGTGGTTTGTTCCTGTAGTACCTGCACGCAAGAGATGGAGACAGGAGTATTTATTGCTGCAAGTTCAAAGCCACATTATGTGCTTCAGGTTATCCAGGGCTACAGAGTGACACCTCAACCTCATGGTAATCTTCTTGCTTTGGCCTCCAAAGCTTAAGATTATAGTCACAAGACATTTCAGAACTGATTTCTGATTTCATTTAAAAAAAAAAAAAAAGTAAGAAAGAAAAAAAATGGAGCTGGACTAGTGGCCCACACTTTTAATCTCAGCATTTAGGAGGTAGAGGCATGAGGATGAGGAATATAAGGTCATCTTCTGCTACATCTCAAGTTTGAGGTAAGTCTGGGCTAGCTTCCCCCTTCCCCACTCTGCCCAAAATCTCAACACTGGAAAATTTTTAGTGCATATTAATACTGTGAATTTCTGTGTACCAGTTACTCACCACCAGTTACTCACCTTGTACAGTTATCAATCATCACCAACCCTTTGTCATTAATATTTCTATTCAGTATTACCTCTGTGTATCTAAACTGTTTTAAGGCTTTTTTTTTTTTTAAGTGAAGTTTTACAAAAACATTGTTAGCCATTCATGATCTGAATTTTGGTGTGTGAATTAAGTCATGAGACATTTGTTTTGTAATAAATAAGGCATCAGAATTACTCATTAGTAGCCTTTTTAAGATAAGCTATTAGGTCTGCCCTCTCTCCCTTCTTAATTCCAGAGAAGATCATTTTTGTTCCGGGGATGTACTTTTTGGGATTCTCCAAATACTCCATCAGGGTATCCTCTCCCCAGGTGATGCCTTTGTTCTTGTTGGCATCTGTGTACGAGAATCCAGCAGCCTGACCTGTCTTCCTCCTGAACAGACCATGGAGATTTGGTCCAGTCTTATACTTGCCTCCCTTTTCCACAGTGTGGCACTGGGCACACTTCTGAATAAAAAGTCTTCTTGCCTTTCTCAACATCACCCATTTTTAATTCGCTCCCAGGTGATCAGCACCACAGCTGCTGTGACCCGGAGATGGATGTCCTGCTCTCTCTTAAAGCATTTTTTATCTATGCTATTTCAGACTATATCTCTAAAAAATGGATACTCATTTTTAAGTTTACATTAAAACATTTGCTGATTTCTTAATACAGAACATATAAAACCATTTTGAGAAAGGGAAAATTGATGTGTAAATATATGTATATGTGGAGAACATTTTTCGTGTTTTCTTGTTTTGGTGGGGTTGAGTGTTTCAAGACAGGGTTTCTCTGTATAGCCCTGGCTGTCCTGGAACTCACTCTGTAGAGACTGGCCTCAAACTCAGAGATCCTCCTGCCTCTTTGTTCAAGTACATGAGTCAAATAAAGCTGAAAGAAGGGGGGGGGGGCTGCGTGACAGGTTCTATAGCCCAATATGTTAAGTATTATATATTAATTTTCCCTTTACAATGATGCTTATACTTAAGTCAAAGTTAAGTAAAAAATACATTTTTTATATGAATCTATTCTGTCATCTCCCACATCAATATTTTTGCCTCTTGGGTGATGGGGTTAAACTCTTGTCATGTAGATATTTTTTGTTTTTTTGAGACAGTGTCTATGTAGCTCTTGTTCCTAACCTAGACTTGCCCTGAATTCATGATCTTCTTGCCTCATTCTCCCCAAAATACTGGGGTATGCCACTAGTCTTCATTTTAGTCATTCTTTGTATTAAAATTTTTTTTTGAAATGCTTCACAAATTTATAAGTCATCCTTGTAAAGGTGGGTGGGGGGCATGTTAATCTCTGTAGTGTCCCATTTTAGTGTATGTGCTGCTGAAGCCAGCAATAGTGGTCACTCTTATCTCTTCTTCTAACCACTTGTTGTTAGCTATAAGCAACTCCTAACGTATGGTTTCCATGAATTGTTAGAGACATTTCATATACATAGAGTTGTAGAATATGTAGTGGTTCGTTTTATTGGTACTGGCTTCTTTCCACTTCCTTCCCTTTTTCTATTTTGATTATTTTAAAAGATTTATGTGTTTGAGTGCTCTATTGACTTTATACCAGAAGAGGGCATCAAATGTCATTATAGATTGTTGTGAGATACTATGTGGTTTTGGGGATTGAACGAGGGCCCTCTAGAAGACCAGCCAGTGCTCTTCACCCCTGAGCTATCTTTTGATTGTTTTTGTGTACATGTTAATGTGTAAGCTGGTACAGATATGTCTAGGTGCCTTTGTATTCGTAGACATGTTCAACCCAGAGGACAACCTTGGGTGTCATGGTTCATTCTTGTGTCATCTACATTGATTTTTGAAACAGGCTCTCTCAGTGGCCTGGGACTCACCAAGGTTAGTTAGTTCTGCTTCAGTGTTATATGAATACAGCATAGCACATGCCACTGTGGCTTGTTTCAGAAGTTTATGATTTTTATGAAATTTAATATAATTCTTACAAGTTACCTAATCCGCTGGGTGGTGGCGGCACCCATTACTCGGGAGGCAGAGACAGGCTGATTTCTGTGAGTTTGAGGCCAGCCTGGTCTACAGAAAGAGTTCCAGGACAGGCTAAGAAGCTACAGAGAAACCCTGTCTCAAACAAGCAAAAACAACAACAACAAAAACAAAACAAAAACCAAGAGTACCTAATCCATAAAGATTTACCCCTGTATTTGTGTGTGTGTGTGTGTTTGTATGTGTGTGTTTTACAATTTTAGAGACCTTTGTTTCATCTTGAATTAGTTTTCATATTAGTGTATTATGGATGATATCTAACCTGTTCTTTTTCAGTAGATAGGCAATCTTTGAAAACCATTCTTTATCTGTTGAATTATTTTTGGCACCCATGTAAAAAAATTTAGTAGAAATTAACTGTGAACTTTTATTTCTGGACTCCCAACTACTTTCCATTTACCTATGAGACTATTTTATAGTGTGTGATATGTCCTCTTCCTGGAAAACTGAACTCTATAACTCCTCTCAGATATTTCAATATTGTTTCAATAAACTCTTGTATTTCTTAGCAGATCTTTGGTATTTCTGAATTTGTTTCTCAGAGTTCTTTTCTGTTTAATTGCTTTCATTTCAAAGTTTTTCAGTTTTTAAAATTCTGTTGTTCCTGCTATCACAAAGTATCCTATTGAATTACTGTTGTATACTTGTGTGGGCAGTTGTATATAAGCATCTAACATACCACTCTCTTTTCTTTTTGAATAGTGACAGAAATGTTGGTAAATGTTCTGAGTATTTGCTCTGATGATGAACTAATGACAGAAGGTGAAGACCAGTTTGATGGTATGAATACTCATCTTACTATTTTTATTATGAAATGATATCTCTCACTGCTGAGTCTCAGTATACTCTATTCAAGAAAAATACAAGCTATTGCTTTCTGGTGGCTATGCTATTTGATAAGTGAGAATCACTCATGCACCCCCCCACCACACACACACACACACACACACACACACACACACACACACACACACACACACACACACACACACATTTTAAGTTTTAGGAATAATGTTAGGTATTTTTTGTAGTGATGTGGGAGTTTTTGGAAAGGGGGGGTGGAAGAAAGAACAGAAACAGAAAAATGGTGAGTTCTTGAAAGGATGCATTTCTTGATGAGCATGGACATTACTTTTTGAAGTTGCTATTTAGTACTGTGTTCCTAGTACATCACAAATATCTTTGAACTCCCTAGTATTGTTTTCACTTCTTTACCAATGTAGGCTGTTCTCATCCTAGTGTGGTTATGTTTTAGAAGACCACTTGCAGTTTGCTAGAGATTCTGGAATTTTTTCTTTGTCTATAGAAACAAGGTTATATGTGGTTGTCCCTGCTTATATAAGCCAACAAGCTTGTGTACCAAATGTGTATTTATAGTATGAAGGAATATGATTAAAATTAATTGATGTTATGTTTTGAAATTTTTACTTAAATTTGTTTAAGCTGCTTAAATTTTAACAGTAAAATAAAAAGACAAAATAACTTAAAAGCTGAAAACTGCCAGGCAATGGTAGTGAGTTCAAGGCCAGCCTGGTTTACAGAGTGAGTTCTAGGACAGGCTGCAAAACTACAGAGAAACCATGTCTCGAAAAATAACAACAACCAAAAAACAGAAGGAAAAAAAAAAAAAAAACCCTGAAAACTATTACATTCCTTATTCTTCTTATTTATTTATTTATTTATTTATTTATTTATTTATGCTTTTTGTAGTGTCCTATACTTCTTTGTAGTCAGTATTCAGATTCATTATGCTAATTATGGTCTACATATTGGTGAGATTTAATAGGAAGAGATAGTGCCTTTTTTTTTTTTCCTTCTAATCCTCCCTATCTTTTTGAAACGGTCTCATATACATCAGACTGCTCCCAAAACTTAACCTGTAGCTGATGACCTTAACTCCTAATCCTCTACTTCCTAATCATTGGTATTATAGGCATTATGTGCCATCATGCCTAGCTTTTTCTGTTCTGTTCTTGAGACACAGTCTTGCTGGGCTAGAAATACTGATCATCTAGCTTTAGTCTTCTTTTTCCCCTTACTGGACTGGCTGGATTACAGATACTTAACAACCACATTTGATGTGTGCTAAGCTATGGGGATTGAATCTAACGCTATGTGCATGCTAAGTAAGCCCTCTTTCGACTTAGTTTTATCCTTGCCCTCCTCTCCATTTTTTTTTAGGAAGGTCTCAGTATGTAGCCCAGGCTGGCCTAGAACTGTGGCAAGCCTACCTGTCTCCTTAGTGCCAGGGTATCAGCCATGTGTTACAATCATGTCTGACTCGAGTTTTATTTTAAACCCATTCATTGAAAATACAGGTATTGCTATTGCAATGTATTGGTGGCAGGCAGAGCTAATGTTTTTATTATTGTAGCTTTATTAATACTTGAAAAGCAAATTTATGTCAGTTTTTTTGGGGGGTTGAATAATAAATATTTTTTGTCTAATAAGTTTCTATTTGAAAATATTTTGTTATATATGGCTTTTTGTTTTTTTGTTTTTTGTTTTTTGTTTTTTTCAGAGACAGCCCTGGCTGTCCTGGAACTCACTCTATAGACCAGGCTGGCCTTGATCTCATAGTTCTGCCTGCCTCTGCCTCCCTAGTGCTGGGATTAAAGGTGTACACCACCACTGCCATGCAAGTCTAGAGTATTTTTTAAAATAATATTTAGCTTTCAAACTAAAGGTTTCTTATTCTATATAATTAGTCCATTTATGGAAATTTACTCCCCTAAATTTATTATTAATCTAGTTAGAATTAGGTTTTTTTTTTTTAACATTAAGTTAAATTGAAACCAGTATTATTTCGTTGTTGTTGTTCTCACTGCTACTCAACTGCTGTTTCTTCTTTCTTTTTTATTTTTATTTTATGTGCATTGGTATTTTGCCTGTTCGTCTGTCTGTGTGAGGGTGTCGAATTCCCAGGACATAGGGTTATAAGCTGCCATGTGGGTGCTGGGAATTGAACCTAGGGTCCTCTGGAAGAACAGCCACTGATTTTAGCCATCTCTTCAGCACTTCAGCTGCTATTTTTAATATCATTTCTCTCTGTATTCAGGAATTTATTAGTTTATAGGTTTGTTTTACATCCAGTAAGATTAGTAGAATTGTTTCACATGAAAATTTTAACTTTTTTTGCAACTTCTAAAAATAAGTCATTTGCATTAGGCTGATAGTATTTCCTAATTTTTGTCATTTTCTTTCAATGTTGTTATCAGTATTGCCAATAGACTATTAAGTAGGATTAGTAGTAGATCATTTCCTTTTAATAGAAAGATCAAAAGTTTCATAGCTCAGGTTAACTTAGTACTTGGTTTGGGTACCTGTAGTTTATATGAAGGTAAATATGATTGATTGTGAAGATTTAACATGAGATAAACAACAGCTTGTATTAATTGTTCAAAACAAACTAGGAAAAGATCACATAATTTATCACCTGCCTAAAGCATAGAAGTATTAGAAAATATATTCCTTTTTAAAGAGGTTTTATCTTAATATTTTTCCCATTTAATAAGATATAGGATAAATTATGCCAGTTTATTTGTTATATTATTTCTTAAATATATTTATTTATTCATTATATATACACAGAAGAAGGCACCAGATCTTATTACAGATGGTGGTTGCGGGGAATTGAACTAGGGACCTTTGGATGAGCAGGCGGTGCTCTTAACTGCTGAGCCATCTCTCTAGCCCTTGCTGTATCATTTTTACATGACAGGGCTGAGTTAAATATCATTAAATTGGCAGTATCATTTTATGAAAAAGATAATAGTTTAGTAGTATCTTTCTTTTTTTGAGGCAGGGTTTCTCTGTGTAGCTCTAGCTTTCCTGGAATTCGCTGTGTAGACCAGGCTGGCTTCAAACTCAGAGATTCACCTGCCTCTGCCTCAGCCTCCCAAGTACCTTTCACTTTGATTTGTTGCTGTGCAGTCTTGGAAAAGTCACCCAACTTCTTAGGATCTTCTCATTTATAAATTGAGAGAACAGAAAAGATGACATTTTATTCTCAAATAACAATTTTCAGCAACATTTATGACAGTGTTTCTATGGGAAAATACAGAGTTCTGTTTTGCATACTAGAAATAGATCTCCCTTCACTGTCAGCATTATAGGTGCAATTACTCCTCATTTTTTTCACCCTTTTATTAACCAAATACTCCTATCAGGAGTTCTAAAAAAGATTCAAACAATATGAATCAAGGTGTTTACATAGAGGAATGGGAGTGATTTGTGAGAGAAAACATTGAAAGAGTGGAATAAAGTGGAGGGTGTTAGGATAGATGCTAAAGTTCAGCATAAAAACCAGAAAAGAACTAATGGAAGCCTGCCACCCCCAGGCTTCCTTGTTTCTTCCCCTTCACTCTTTCTTTCTCTATCCCTCCTTCTTCTTTCCTTTCATCATGATGGCATGACTTCTTTCTTGTCTTTCTCTTTTCCTGCACCTCAGTGAAGCCATTCTATGGATCTGGGAAGAAATATGACTTTAGAAAGAAAACTTGGTAGAATGGGGTTTGTTAGGGAAATTGAATGAGGGTTCAGTTTTTCTGTAGAGAAAGGGAGAAAGTAGGATCAGAGATTTTCCAATAGCAGGAAAGAAATAATAATTTTTAAATACCCAAGTTTGAAATTTGTTAACATGGATTAAGACTCTTATTGATGGCTCTTTAGTACTCTATATTGTTTGTTTAATGCTTGTATCAGTATTATGTTTTTTCAAAGTAAACATTGCATTTAAGAATGTGTCGCATCCTTTTTAGAGGTGTTAATCATGAAAGAATTTTTGAGTCCTTGATATTTAGAATGCATACATTTCTTTCAGGTATTTAACTATTGTCTTTAGTTTGGAAAAAGTATGTATTATAGTGCCACTAAGTTAAATTCTGTAGTTCCTATAATGCAATCGTGTATCTTAGCATTAGAATGTAAGATCTCGAAAACTCAAATTAAACCATCTCCACTGCCTACTTTTAAAACTACTCACTTGCTTTGAAGCAATTTATTGCTATTTTTGTAAAAGATGTCCCCCAGTCTCCCAGATTGGATTGGGAACAAACAGCACATTGTTAATTTTGAATATATGCAAACATCTCACAGTTCAGATTCAAGAAATCATGTCATCTTGTTATGGAGTATAGGAGGCTCAGCATTTCTTTATTGGGAGTGGGTGAGGCTTTCTACTGAGGAAAGTTACCTATATTTTCTGTATATGCTACAGATTTTGCATATGTTGGTGTCTTTGAAGAACCATATGAGTTTGTATCCTATTTGTGTCATTGTTTTTCACTTAACATCCTTTCATGGGTGGCATATTTCTTTAGGGTTATGACTAAATGTGTGATTGTTAGCACAGTCTTATGTGTTTTCACGTGTTTTTTTTCATCCCTAATTATGTCTACTTTCATCAAAAATTATAATCATTCTACTCACAATTTCTTTCTGAACACATATCTTTTAATAAATCTTTGCTTTAGAGCTCTACCCTGTAGATTCTGTCTTTTATTCACCAAATTCTACAGTACTACATTTTTCAAATATAAGGGCCTTCATTTTTTTCTTCCTTTCTTTCTACATTCATCCTTCAGTACCACTACCAAGTTAAATCTCTATCTTTTTATTTGTCTCAACCACCTTTTCTCCATCATTCACTTCCTTTTTTCTGGACTCTCCATCTGAAGAACGGCTCATATATGGCAATAAAAAAGGTACAGACCAGACAGAGTAACATTGTTTTGAAATATGACTTCATAAGTTACCTCATGTCCATGTGAGTTGGCACATTCATTGAGTAATGTTTTGAGAGTCTTTGGGCCTTTTGCAAATTTAGCCCTGACTCTTATCTGAATTAGTATTTGATGTTTTAGAAGTCATATTCCAAGACATCTGTCTTTCTGTGCATGGAAATAGTTTTCCCTCTTTTCATTCCTCTTGTTTTAAAATTTCATTCTTTTGCTTATTTGTAATGTTTTGTACTTTTCCCTGCATGATTAGGGGTGTTTGATTGTCTGTCTTATTCCCCAGAGTATTTTTAAGGTGGACAATTACTTTAATATGATGCATGATATGTTGTAGACTTATTTTTAAATCCTGATTTGTACAGTGTGTTTATATTCCTTAAATTTTTTTTATTTGAATTCAGTATAGTTTTCATATCATTTGGTTTTATAAATATATAAATTAAGGCTGAAAATACAAATGGATATTGTAGCCATTGTTTTTAACCAGTTACTCCTGATTACAAATCAAACTATTTTAAAATGTCTGTCAATTTAAAAATAAAGTATCTAGGGGCTGGAGAGATGGCTCAGAGGTTAAGAGCACTGCCTGCTCTTCCAGAGGTCCTGAGTTCAATTCCCAGCAACCACATGGTGGCTCACAACCATCCGTTATGAGATCTGGTGCCCTCTTCTGGTGTGCAGATATACATGGAAGCAGAATACTGTATGCATAATAAATAAATAAAATCTTTTTTAAAAAAGTATCTATATTAATTTATTAGAAGAAAATCAGACTTTGTGTCCTTGGAAAAGTCGTTTAATAAACTAGGGTGTTTTGGGTTTTTTTTTTTTGCTTTTTTGTCTGTAAAATAAGGAAATATCCCCAGTGTGTCTTCAGATTCTGATATTCTTTGATATGTAACCTTGTTTTAAATTTTTTTTTAATCTGAAGAACATCTCTTTGACGTTATAATGACCACATAGTTTTGGGCTTGGAGCTCTGGTGCTCCCAGTATTCCAGTGTTACCTTTTAGAGAATAACAAATAAGGTAATTGGAGTCCTGCTCTCTAAATATATGCTGTTTTCATCCTTGAAGTTAGATTTTTTTTTCTGTTTTTCTTTCAGTTAAGTCTAGTCATCATCTTAGTTTTTAATTATATGTATTTGTAGTCTGCTTGAATTTTAAATGAAACACTCTTACCTACAAGACTTCTGATTGTTCAGACCTCTGCATACCTAAGGCTCACTTTGCTGTAGCATCTTAGCCTTTCCTTGACTGTCTCCTCAACAGTGGTGCTTCCATATGTGTGTTTTCCTCATGTTGAAGCACAGGTTAAGGAAACATACTTGGGTCCAGAGTGACTGTGGTTACTGTATATGTGGTAACAAGACTGAGATTATTGTTCTTGCTGGAGACCAAGGGAAGGAAGAGTGACCTTTGAGTCTTTGTCCAGCCATTGAGCCAGTTCTTTTGGTGTATTCTTTAGGCAGCTTTTCAAGGTCGTTTCTTCTTACTGTTTGTCTTATATTCAATTCCTATAGTTATAAAAGCTTAAGTATACTTGCATGACTATGGGGGACAGCCAATCCATAAAATTGAAATATTCATTGTTGCTGAAATACTGCTGTAGTCCCTACTTTGTGATCACCTTTGTAATTATTACTACCCTTTGTACGTGTTTTTATAGATTAACTTAGATTTTTTATAGATTAACTTTTTATAGATTAGCTTATTCTTTTATAAAAGATGAGATAATTCTAGTGTGCATGTAAAGGCTTTTGTGGTAGTTAAACAGTTTTATGTTTGTCTTACTCTGCATGCCATAGGCTCCCATGAAAATTTTAAACTATAGGATTGTTTCTAGTTTTTTGTCCTCTGGTTTGTAATTCAAATTGGGCTCAAGTGTCCCCACCCCCACCTGTACCCTCTTTTACTCTTTTCCTGATTAGTCGGTGTTGTGAGATAATTAAACTTTGTGATTGTTCTTATCAAACTCCATTATTTGACTAGTGTTGAGCTAATCATTGAGAGAGTGACAAACTTTCTGGCATGATTTCATCTAGTGTCTTCCATGTGAGCTGGTAGCAAGAGACCTGGTATTGATTTAGATGAGTCTGGAATAGGCTATTAGAATAATAGAATAATGCTTGAGTGCCCTAAACTTGAGCCCTTTTTTCTATTTATTCCATTGAAAGTAGGTTCAGCTGCAGCCCGGAAAGAAATCATAAGAAACAAAATCAGAGCAATTGGCAAGATGGCAAGAGTCTTCTCTGTTCTCAGGTACTAATACATTTTCCTGATTATTTTGCAGAATTTTTTTTCTTGTATTTGAGCATTCTTCTGTTTGATACCTAGAAGCAATATGGTTTTCCTTTTCTGTTGAAACTAGTTGTACATTTATGTACTAATGAAGGGAATAGAAGTTCCTTTGAATCTGGTGGTGTTTTGTTTGCCTGCTTGTTTTGTTTTGTGCTGGAATCAAGCCCAGACCTAAAACATACTAAGCATCTAGTCTGTCACTGAAATTAGGATTTGTGACCTTTGGTATATCTTGCTCTTGCAATGAAAGCACTAAATTTACACCTTGAAAATCGGGATCAGGAGAAGATTCCTGGTGAATTTTCCCATCCATATAGGATGTCTCCTTTTGGTAGAGTACAAGTTGCCTTCTTGGAATTAAAATTCAGGAAGATGAGGTTTCAAGAAAACAATATGTTTCAGTTGTAATGTGTCTACCCTCCTAAATGAAACATTTAGAATATGGGAAAATGTGTATTTTAGAATTGAGGGAAATACGTTAATAAAAATGAATGGCATGATTATATGCATGACCTATATCTGGGCTCTGGCTCTTCTTTTAAAGTAAGCATTTATTAATAGATTTTTATTATATTCTATTTTGCTTTTTGCAATTTGGGGGATCGAGCCTAGTGCAAATGCTGTACCTCTGAGCTACTAACTCTTCTGATACTTGTTACATTTCTCTACTGTAGGGAGGAGAGTGAAAGCGTGCTGACACTCAAGGGCCTGACTCCCACAGGGATGTTGCCTAGTGGAGTGTTGGCTGGAGGACGGCAGACCTTGCAAAGTGGTAATGATGTTATGCAACTTGCTGTGCCTCAGATGGACTGGGGCACACCTCACTCTATTGCTAACAATACACATAATGCATGCAGGGAACTTCTTCTGCTTTTTAGTTCTTGTCTCAGCAGCTGACATAAGCAGGGTACTACATGTTAGGCAGTATCTGATTAGTACCTGGTCAGGGTATAATATTGATAGAATGGGTTGTCTTTCAACTGAAAATAATGGTCTGTTCCCCAGCTTCTCATAAAATGGTGTGGGAACAGCTCATGTCATAATACTGAAGTATTTATTGATTCATTTATCTGATGCACCTTTTTCTTTTAAAAGCCTCAGTCGAGAATGTGAATCAGGGATATGCATATTAATAAAATGGAAATGTAATTCCAAGTTACATTTAAAATTTATGTAATTGTATTATATTATGCTTATATTTTCGAGTATTTAATTTTTGAGTTAAAATTCTGCTTAGGTCCAAAAATTTCCTATATGCACTTCACCTGCCAAAAGATTTATGCCAAGTTTTGTACCCTGGTAAATGATTAGAATTTGTTATCTGTGGTGTTTGTCAAATGTTCTATGTATAATTGACTGTCTGTAACATGCTGTTTCCTTCCTCTTCAGATATAGCTGCTTTCCTAAATCTGTCTGTCTTTCTTTAGGGTAGCTGTATGTCTGTAAATATATGTTCAATTAAATTACTCTATCAGACGCTTGTCTGTCTTTTGATGTAGAAGCAGCATTGTAGCACCTTGATTTTTAGGTTTGCTGCATTTGTTGCTGCACTTGATGCATTCTGAACATGAATGTAACATTAGATATTAAGCTATTGTTATAAAGGGTTGAATTTAAATCCTGTAAGTCAAAATTGAAAGGGTGTTATTAAGTGTGCCTTTATTTTGCATGAAAATAAAAAAATTATACGTAAAGCATTCCTGTAATCTGGCTCGTTGAATATTTTATGTTTTTTTTTTAAAAGCTAACTTGATTGTTTTAGATTTTGTATAAGTACTGGGTAAACTTTGAAAGCCCATTACAGATTAAATAGAAGAAAGTGCTGTGAGTATTGCAGCCCATACACAATAGTGCACAATCTCAGTGTCTTTCCCTTATGGATAGAATACAAAAATTGTAATGTGGAAAAAAAAAAAAAAACTAATCATAGAGCCACTTTGACAGCCCTCCAAGTCTCATTGTTTTATTAAAACAGGCAGTGATAGATCTGTTGTTCTTAATACTGTTTCTTTTTTGGTGTATATAGTGAGGTTTTTTTTAAAAGTGAAATAAAATTTAATTTAAATATTTGAATAAATATGAAATTTCCTCATAATGTCATTTTACTCTGTTCTAAAACAAATCCTTTTTAATTAAAATCATTTTTTGCTAGACAAATGATTTTTATCCTATATGTGTTCTATTTTATATGTTACTCTATTGTCTGCTGTTACTACTGGTGCAACCACGAAGTTCAGCTAAGTACAGTAGTGGATTTCAGAGTGACTAGAAACCACATATAGCTTCAGATTTCTATGCTGAATGAGGTTTTTTGTTTGGTTGGGTTTTGTTTTATTTTTTCAGTTTTTGTCATGATTCCAGAGAATCTAGAACCTTGAACATTACTGAACAACTAAGCTATGGCCCCATCCCAAGATTTCTTTTCTCTTTTTTAAATTTTGGATTAAAAAAAAAAAAACTGTTTCTGATTGTCTTTATTTTCTTTGCCCTTTATTTTTCTATTACAAATATTTTTAGATGCCAAAGAATATTTCATGAATTTAAGTTAAAACATTAATAAAACCTTAAGTATTCAATGAAAATTACAAAAATTGTTGTTAGTAAAGGATACTTTCTAATAAGGAAAGTATACTCTTTGAACAAAAAAAAGATAGCATATTTAAATAAATCTACTTCATAGTCATTTCTCAGTTATCCTTGGATATATTGTTAAGTTTACATTGTATCCATGGCAAACTGTGCTTTCAGATTTCACAGTTAGCACCTGCTAATTACATGCTTTGTTGACAGCTTAGTACTTCTATTTATTCTTAGTTTGCATGCAGCCTGAAGCTCCTTCCTTCAACTTGGAAACCACCCTCAACTGCAGGGAAGGTTTGAAAGACAGCAGCTTTGCTGAAGGGACTATTTGTTCCTAGCATAGAGTAAGTTACTGGAAGGAGCTGAGCTTAAGGGGTCTAATTTGGGAAACTGGACAGCTCCCTAGTTCTGCTCTTGATGTTTGAGCATTTGGTTCAAGTTATTTCCCTAGAATATGGAAACTTGTTTTAAAAGAAGTAAAAAAGCTGGTATAGAAACTACATCTTTGAGATTTTTTGCTGAAAGATTAATGTTTTAAATTTCTACAGATAGAAACTCTAATGTTAACATATGACTGAGAGGTAATATTAAAATAAGTTTAATTTTGAGATTTCAAGACTATTTTCAGAATATAAAAATTATCTTTTAAAAATTATTTTGTTTTGTTTTTTGAGACAGGGTCTCATGATATAGCCTTGGCTGGCCTGGAGTTCACTGTTTAGACCAGGCTGCCCTCGAAGAACTCACACAGGTCCTCCAGCCTCTGCCTCATGAGATACAAATCTTCCAGCCCCTTCCTCCTGAGTGCTGGGATTAAAGGCACAAGCATCACCATGCCCAGCTTCTTTTTAGTATCTTTGAAGCTAATTTATATGTTATTTCTTGGGTGGAGGGAGTTTTGTTTTCTAAACTACAACTCTGTTGGAGTTTGATTTTGGAGTTTTGTATTTTTTTTTCATGGTAATTTGATTGGTAATTAAACCCTATAATTGTATCTGGAAAAATAGGTAGCTATCTCTATTTTAATAATGCCAAAGATTGTTTGTTCTTTTTGTGTTGAAGAACATAATAGTTGAAGGCAGCGCTATACTGATACTTATTAGCATTGTGTCCTGTGTAGTTGAAAACTAATAAAGAAGAAATACAGTAGTGGCTTTCAGATTGAATTTTATAGTTATCAGATGTTTCTTTCTAGTTTACTATTTAAGCTTCAGCTGCCCATATTTCAGTTTAAGCCTTTAAACTTGACAGAATATATCTTACTGTTAAGCGTTATAGCTTAGAGTTTAGCAGTAGAATTTTAAATTTTGATGTAATTAGCTAGATATTAATTCTCTTAATGAGATCAATTTTAGTCTTAATTTATCATATATAAGTTATAGAATGTTTCATATCAGACAATTCTGCTATCACAGACTCTTAAACCCTATTTCAATAGACATTTTTTTCCTTCTTTCAGCTTCAAATTATAAAGAAAAGTGTTCACATTTTGAAGGGGGCTGATAACGAATGTTCAAGGACTGATAAATATAGATGGGTCTTTTTTCATTCTGTTTTGTGTGGTCTGTTTGTTTGTTTGAGACCAGGTCTTGCTGTGTAACCCTGGCTGGCCTGGAACTCACAGAGCTCCAATTGCCTGAGTGCTGAGATCAAAGGTATGGCCACCATGCCTAGTCAGATAGACCTTTTGTCCCACTTTTCTCTCTGGGGAAATTTTGTAGAATTCTTTCCAGATAAACAGTGCTAGATTTTTTTTTTTCAAAGTTGAGTTGCACAGTGGGTATATAATGTATATGTCTGAGTAGTAATTTGATTTAGCAAGTAAGGAAGGAATACTACATCTTTATTCAGTATTCATCCTACCTCTTTTGTATTCCCAATTCACTTTCTGGTTACAGTCACCAATGTTTTCTAATTTAGGCAGTGTTTTTTTCTCGAGATAGGGTTTTTCTGAGTAGCTTTGGATCTAATTTACTTTTTAAGGCCATTCATAACTGTTTGGGATGAAATAGCTAATTTCTAAATCATAATTTTTCATAAAAAGACATTTCAGAAATAAATGTTGTAATTACCTTTATTGTAGAAGAAGCAAAGCAAAAGAAATGGACAGTCTTGTAACATTCTGAGAATGCACACTTTGAGTACAAAAGGGGTAACATTGTTAGGCAGGTACTCTTATTCTTTGTGGTCCTGGTCCCCAGTGTGAACTCTTTTTGTTTGTTTGTTTAAACGAAAAAATGAGCAAACAAGTAACCTGTGAAATTTATTTGAATTATTGTTTTCTGATCATATTCATATGGGTGTTTGGCCTGCACATATGTACATGCACCATGTCCATGCATGGTGTCTTCCAAGATCAGAAGAGGGAGGGTGTTTAAGATCCCTTGGGACTGGCATTATAGATGGTTGTTAGATGTCATGTGGGTGCTGGGAATCGAACTTTAATTCTACAGCAAATGTTCTGAACTGCTAACTCTGCATCGCCTAAAAAGGCATCTTCAACTACAAAGTACACAACTAAATATTCAGTTCTTTAAATGGGCCAGTACAAATTATACCAAGAAATTTTTCCTCACATGACCTATATATTGTACTCATTATGAAATAATTAGGATTCTTTGCCTGAAAGACATTAGTTATATGCCTTTCTGATTAGCAGATGAGTTTAAAAAGATGCCCACATCTAACAATGCAGGCTTCTTGCTTCTAAGCAAAATAATTATCATGATAAACTGAAAATAAATAGAATTTTTAAAATGTCATAGGTGTTTAGATAGTTGGGCAGTCAATATGAGAGTAGGAGCTAGTGTGCAGTGGCATGCACTCATAGTCTCGCAGATGCTTTAGAAACTGGTGTAAGATGATCACTTGATCAGAGGTTCAAGGGCTGCCTCCTTTAAAACAAAACCCAAGTTCCTAGCATAGAAAATAGTTCCTTAGCTGGGCGTTGGTGGCACATACCTTTAATCCCAGCACTCAGGAGGCAGAGGCAGAGGCAGAAGGATCTATGTGAGTTCAAGGCCAGCCTGGTCTATAGATCAAGTTCCAGGATAGCCTCCAAAGCTACACAGAGAAACCCTATCTCGAAAAACCAAAAAAGAAGAAAAGAAAAAGAAAGAAAGAAAGAAAGAAAGAAAGAAAGAAAGAAAGAAAGAAAGAAAGAAAGAAAAGAGGGAAGGGGGAGAGAAAATGGTTCCTTTTAGGCTCTCCCTAAAGAACAGAGAATTATATTTAGACTAATTCAACAAATACAGGGTCCCTACATTTTACAGTTGTACCAGATTTTGCTGCTACACTTTGCATTATAGATTTAAAGGGACAGAAAACCATTACTGACCCCTTCTAGTTTGTATCTTAGGGAACCAAGTGGTGATGAATGTTGTTAATATTAGAAGTGAAAGAAAAGATTTCTTTTGTTTGCTTTTCTTCTACAGTGCTATTATAATTTTCCTGTAATGATAATGCACTGATAAAACAAACATGGAAAATTCTAGCACCATCAAAACTCTGAATTCAAGATGAGAAATTAATACTACAGTGCATTTGCATGGGTACTGAGGTGTCTGTCTTTACAATAGGTCTATATGTTCTGTGCTCTGATGTCATAGTGCTGTGTGTAAGCTGTGCTGTGTTAGGAATTGGGGGATTGGGTGAGGCTCTCTAATATGGGTATAGTTTATGTTCATTTGTAAATGATGATATAGTTTGGGTACTGTTATATATTAAGTGATCATTGCCTTTTCTGCTGTACAATATGACCCTTCTCATCTCTCTCATTCATTTTGCATGCCTCTGCTCACTTCTGTACAGCCACAGTTGAGGCTATTGAGGCTGAAAAAGGTACGATCAGAGTCCTTGCACTGGGCAGAGATCTGTGGTCTGTGGGTGGGCATCAGAGAATGTCCTATGGGTGTGTCTTATGCCTAGCTTACACAGATGAATCATACTGGCTGACTCATCAAGTTTAACAGTCACATTCCTCTCCTCCTCCTCCTCCTTTTTTATTTTTAAAAATAAATCACAAGAGCTGATACCTATAGTGTCTTTCTCTTTCTAGTATAATCCAGAGTTTATTGTTGCCTATTTCTTTAGTATATGTTGTATACCATAGCATTTATGTTGCCTGTTTTAATGGACATTATTTAACTAACCCTACAAGTAGAGCTCTAGCCCATATTTTGTGTGTTTTATGCTTCTCAGATTTTATCCCTATGTGAAACCCCCACTAAGTAAACGTGAGTTTGCTTTTGCCCATTCTAGTACAGGTAGTATTACTATAATGATTTCTTTCCTGCAGTTTGGGCTGTAGTTTTAGAGTTAAGATTATATTCATGTGTATCAAGGCTTAGCTTGATATACACACTTCTGTCTATATTGTGGTCACAGCCATTTGTTTGGTTCATATTTATAAGTAGTGCTAGAGATTAAGTATATTAAGCAGCTAGACTGTAAGTAATTCTATAAATATTTTTATGAGCATTTTATTAATGGTATCTGTATCCTTACAGATGAAATGAATGAGAATCCATAAGAATTAATGTAAGCTGGGCTTGGTGGTGAATGTCTATCCTAGCAGTAGGGCCATTGAGTCAGGAGGATCATGAATTTGAGGCCAGGCTAAGCTATATAATGATTCCAAGGCCAGCCTGAGCTATGGAGTGAGACCCTATCTCAAACAGTTAAACAAAAGAGCCCTTAATACTTAAGAAGGATTGCCATTTATTTTTTACATAGTTTGTAGTAATTGGCCAGAGAATGAAGGGAAAAATGTTCTAACATATGCCTAATTTTTGCATATCAACAAAACGCAGTTCTAACTTTGGGGTCATTTTTTCACTTTTTTATTTTATACTGGTATTCCTCCAAGGTAGTTCTTCCCCAGCTCCATTTTACCTTCACTTCTTGTACATATTTGTGTCTTGGGGATTATCCTTATTTAGCTTCCTCACTTGTCACCCTCTTAGCTACCTCACTTTTGTGGTGGTCACCATGTGATCTAGGTTTGAGGTAAGAGGAGATAACTGGTCTAGTAGAATCAAACAGATACCCTGAGACTATTGACACAGATTGATTTTGCAGGCAGGGAAAGGTAATTTTAGTGTTTTTTTTTTTTTTTTTTTTTTTTTGCTTACTTTAAATAAAGCAAACAAAACCATAGTAACTTGTTATCTATGAAACTGTCATCTTTTCATATTTAAAGTGTTCCATATTTTAATGGGGAGTCTAAAATGGGTATAGAATTCAATTAAAGTAAAATTTATGCATTGCTATTTATAGTAATTTCTTTTCTTAAAAGTCATTATGTTTTTGAAAACTCAATTGTTTTTACAATTACTGACTTATCAAATTTGCATTTTGTTAAGCAATACGAGGATTCTCTCCACCACATAGAATCTGCAGTTTTGAAGAGGCAAAGGGTTTGGATAGGATCAATGAGAGAATGCCACCCCGGAAAGATGCTGTACAGCAGGATGGTTTCAATTCCCTGAACACCGCACATGCCACTGAGAACCACGGGACTGGCAACCATAGTGCCCAGTGACCAGCAGCTTCCCAGGGACTCTCAGGTCTTGGGCCCCAAATGGACAGATCACCCAAGGAACTGGAGGGGTCGGCCAAGCTGATGATAAATGTCACAATCTCTCTGAAGAAACCATTGTGCTTTTTGAGACCCGTGCCCCCTTCCTGGTTGGAGGCTTGAGGGCCCTGGGACATGTGCTGTCTAATAAGATTGGGTCATCGCTGCCACAGTGGAGAGCAGTGAGCAAGGGGCTTGGGGCAATTTCCATTGGAGGGTATCTACACCTCCAGTTATGCTTGTGGTTCACACATTTACGTTTACAAATGAGATTTCTTTTTTTTTTTCTTCAGTAGAATTAGGTTTTTTTCAACCATGACTTTAAATGCAATCTTTAGAGTTAATGTGGACTCCTCCCCTACCCCATGAAATGTCTTTAAAAGGATGAATTAGCATGGTCTTAAAATATATTTCTGAGGTTACTAGCTGTATTTTGAATTGTAGGCAAAAATCTGAGAAACCCAGATGGTGTTTATACAAAATGATGACCTCAGGTCTATAGTTCTTAAATGTGGCTAATTCTGTAACATAGTCTTGGTATTTTTCAATTATGAAAAATAAACTATTTCTAAGAAGACTCTTACTTGAACACAAATCCAAAAACCAATTTAGAATCTTTTTTGCCCATAGCTTTTGAGATTTACATCCCAAAGATTTAAGAAAAAAAAATCCTAAAATTTCAAATTATGAAGAATTACAGAATTACTCATTTAAGGTACTTAAAAAAAAAAGTTTGTACATTGTCAAAGTAAATTTTAATTCAAATCATGTCTGTAAAACTTGACGTATTTTGTGTATGCATGTTTTCATTTTGCAGATATTTAATATATAGACCTATGATGTACAGGTACAACATGTATAGGTTACATAGATGTTATGAGAAATTTTAGTTTATTGTGAGTACTCCAGTTGCTTAAAAAACCACCAGGGTAATTTGCTGCTGGCTTTCTATCATTTTTATGTTTAAATGCAAAGGAAAATTTTAAATGTCTGGAAATGTTTTTGATTAATGCAGCCTAGAAGTAATGGTTCTCTTCAACCCTTCAGATGTTAGTGGAAGCATAAAAGTCAAAGACTGCATGTTGAAATTTTACTTTTGATAGTTACAGAACTGCTTGGTTAAACTAAATGGAACCATGTGCTAATTTTACACAGTTATTGACCTATGCTGATTGCCACTGTAGTTTGGTATTTCCCTTTACTTTGGTGGCCTGTTTCCCTCATGTCCTGGAATACAACTCAGAGCTCCAGGCAGCGGAATCATCTGTTGTTTTGTTTGCCAGAAAGTGCACCCTGTATGGTCTCCTGTCTAAGTTGGAAATATTATGCATGTGCAGGACTATTCGAGTATTTTATAAACAGTAGCACACAATAAATTCCATGCATGGGCTGCTGCTCCTATCTCTGTGTTGGGTTTTATTTGGAAGATCTAGTGTGATTTAACCTTTTTATGCAAATTGTAAAATTCTATTCGTGGAGCTAGGATATCCTTCAGAGATTATCCTATAGATAATTAATAATGATTTCATGAATTAAATTCTCATCTATAAATTTTACTTGTTTCTCCCTTAAACCTTTGTTATACTTTTTTAAAATGTGAGTAGTTGAGCATTGGAGGAATTTGAATGACAACAGTAATCTTCCAAAATATAATATTTAAACTCACTTGGGATATATCATTCAGTGGTAGGGTGCTTGCCTGTCACATGCAAGGCTCTGGGTTCAACCCCAGGACCATAAATAAAATAAAAGTCACTGTTTTCGCCAACTCTTAGTTGGGAGAAATGTTCTAGTCTTGAACTTTGTTAGAGTGATATTGATAAATTGTGTTTTGGTAAATTGGGTGGTTTAACAATACACAAAATACTAATAATTGGTTACTCTGAGATTTTGCTTTGCTTCCTCTGCCATTGTTGAAGTAAGTATAACATTGCAACTTGAGAAAATGCTCACAATTATAGTATGAAAAATAGCTTTGACAATGACTGATACACATAAAGCATCAGATTATATCAAAATATATAATCTTGCCAAATTCCAGATAAAAACAACCTAAATTATTTATTATAGTGTCCAACATAATATTAATTTGTAAATTAGTTCATTAGCTGCCTCTAAAATTACTATATACTGTATGCTTTAAAGATTTTTTTTCATAGTTTTTTCTTTTCAGTAAAATTACATTGTTAATGTAGAAACTTAACTAGTATATTAAGTGCTAGGAACTTCTTAGCACTTTGATTTATTACTAGGGTTATATAGTATTTGTGGGAGTCATAGATAAGCAGAAAGCATCATTATCAAACTTGAAGAATTATAGGTTGGTGGTAAAAATCAAGAAAGGAGAAAGCAAAAGAATAACTTGGACAAATCAGTGTACATGAAAATGGTAGACTATCATCCAGCTTCACCGACCTCTTTCACATTAATAAAGTAGGAACCTCTTTGTAGCCTCTACTCTCTTCCTTTTTTTTTTTTTTCCTGAAAACACTCTATGTAGCTCAGATTATTCTTCAACTCAACTCTTGCCTCATCCTCCCTAGGGCTAGGATTTTTTACAGACATGAACTACCATGACTGGCCTTCCATTTTCATAGATAGTTTTACCAAAAATGGTTAAATTCTTAAGATAATTTTCATTGCAGCTCATGATGCAAATTGTGGAAAATTCAAATCTCTTAAGTTGTTACTTTAAATATCTACCAGTATAAGTAGTAATGCTAAAATAGGAGCATTTGCTATAAATTTTATGCTTTGTCACTGTCCTTTATATTCAGATATGATACTTCTGAGTTAACAGAGTCAGTCTGTAAAATTTTTTTTGTACCTCCTGTTGTTTATTCTTTAGCAACAGAATTCTTAACCCCATTAAAGGTTATCATTTAATTTTGAGGCCGTTTTAGTTTGAAGTTGGCCTTGAAATCTTTACTGACAATAACCTCTAGTCACTCAGTGTTTTTGAATATTGCAACTGATTTCCTTTGTTTACAGCTATTCTGTATGGTGTTGTGCAGTGTTTCATTGACCCCTTATTTGTAGTTCATGCTGTATAGTTTGGAATTCCTTTGGAACCCTTTCCTTGTTTCACAACTTTGTAATTTGATGTACTACATTCCAGGACCCCATTGCTAGAGGTTCTGTTTCCCAGAGGCAGGTAAGTGACAGCTGGGGTCAGATGTAAGCAGAAAACAAACAAGCAAAAGAGGGAGGGTGGATTTTTTTAGTCGTAAAGGACCGCTGTCCAAATATCTGCTATTAGGTTCTTCAGGTTGGAGAGGAGCTAGGAAGTATGGTTGAACTTCCTGGATCAGCATCCTTTACCTGGAGTGGAAGGATAGTTGAGTTAATTCTTTCCTGTTTTCTGTCTCTATAAATAGTATGTTGATAGGGGATGTCCTTCTGTATATATGTTTTTCTTATTGCTTTATGAATAAAACACTTGATGTTCAGTAGCCACGCAGGAGGTATAGGCGGGGCTACCAGACAAGAATTCTGAGGAGAGTCGGGCAGAGAGAAGCCTCCAGAGAGACACCATGTAGCTGCCAAGGAAGAAAGGGGGCCAAGCATCACCGGAAAGCCCAAGACCATGTGAAAATACATAGATTAATAGATACGGATTAATAACTAAGAGAGAGCTAGCCAGTAAGAAACTTAAGCCATCAGTAGAACAGTTTCTAATTAATACAAGCCTCTTTATATTTATTTGGGGCTAAGTGGCTGTGGGACCAGATGGGACAGAAACTCCGTCAATAGTATGTATTTTCACTTAGTAACAAAAATACTGGTCTTACCAATTTTGATTTCTCAGAAGCATTTATTCCTCTTTTGAAATTGTCCTGTAGAATGTCCTTTGATGATATGCTTCATTTAGAGAATACTTCATGCTCCTTATGTGAAGTGTTTTTACAATGTAGTTCCCCTTATTTTTCCTACAGTTAAGTTCCTTGTACCATGCCATTTCTCTATCCCTTTTTGGGTAATTATATTTGTACTCAAGCCTAGTTTGGACATTGTTGAATTCTATTTGAATCGTGTGTTCGGCTAAAAAACGGGACATCAGGCTTGGAGAACTCATCTTGGATCCAGACTGACACCACTTTTATTCCAAGGGTTCCTTTTTCTTTGGTCTGGTGCCTATCCTTCCAGCCAAATATTGATTCCTTAATTAATCTCCAGGGATTCCCCCCCCCCCCCATGAAGCTGTAAAATGAGAGCAGAAATATGCTACCTTGAAAGACATCCAGGAAATAGTGGGTTTCATCTTTCCTCAGCTTGCCTAGCTATGATGAGTTGGGGAGTGTTGACAGAGTCTTGAGCCCACCTGGCAGAGAATAAAGGTCAGAAAGAGAACTCAAGCAGGTGTCCAGGTCCTGACTTGCCTCGTTAGGGAGAATTCAGCCTTGTCTGTCTGGTTGGCAGGGCACACTTAAGTCACTCAGACCCAGCATTTCAGCAGTTTGCAGAAGAAGTGATACAAAGCAACAGCTGCAAGTGAGACCCAGCCTAGATCTGAAGAGATCAAGCGTTCACTTCACTTGGAGGAAAGAGAAGGAAGGAAGCCTAGGGCTTAGCAGGGTAAGTTACTTTCCCATCAATCTGTCTACTTAGTTCGTTTTATAATTCTGTAAAGTATCACTCGAGGGAGTGTTAATCACTGATTAATTAACAAGTGTGGTCAGAATAGCAGTATTCTTTTTTGTTGTTTTTCGGGACAGGGTTTCTCTGTGTAACTCTGGCTGTCCTGGAACTACCTCTGTAGGCCAGTTTGGGCTCAAACTCAGAGATCTGCTTGCCTCTGCCTCTCAAGTGCTGGGATTAAAGGTGTGCTCCACTACAGCCTGTTCAGAATAGCAATATTCTAACTGTACTTTTCCCTACCTTCTCCCCACATTTGGGTGTTAGGTTCTTTGGTTTTTGAGATACTGTCCAGATTGGCCTCCAACTCTTGCTCGTCCTGCCTCAGCTTCTTGAGTGCTAGAATAAATGTTCATCATCATGTAAGCCTCCCCCTACCCTTTTCAAGGAAGCCAGTGACCAGTTCTACTTCCCCCTGTCTTCCCCACAACTATCCAAAAGATGTATTTGCTGATGGATTCAAGAAACTACAGTGTGATCTCCTGATCTGGAGACAGTGGGACTTTCGTTAATGAAGGAGAAAGCGGAAGGTGCTGTTTAAAAATAGGTTAATGATTTAGGTTAGACTGTGGGGATGGAGGATAAGAGTTTTTCTAGAAGCCAGCTTATATTCCTGTAGTCATTTGTTTTCTCTAAATCATCAGGGTGGCTAGAAGAAAATCTCTTGTGTAGGTAAACTAGGCTGAAGACTGGTTCTTTTGAGTGCTTACCACAGCCTTTTGGTTTCACCCTTCCATATCCTCGGGGTTTCCTCCCTCTTTCACTTTTCTCAATTTATACCCCTTGAACTTAGAGGAGCTTGGGACTATGGGAAAGCTAGAACCAAGGTCTGAGTCTGCAGTATACAAATTCAGAAATGGACGAGGACACACACACCACAAACTTACCTCAATAACACACACACACACACACACACACACACACACACACACACACTGACCTGACTTCTCATTCTTACCTTCTCACTTTCCTGTCAGAAAGCCAGTACATTTATAACATAGGTCATCAGTGTGCTCTTGATATAGAGGAGTTTGTGACATTAGGGATTTGCCATAACCAGTTTTTCCTCCAAGTGGTGTGCTGCTTTTGATTTCTGTTTAGTAATATCCCATCCTCCTGTGTATACACATTTCTGTGAGTGAATCTTCCATTGGTGGAAGGCATCCTTGGAAATGCATAAAATGAAGCAGTATCTTTCTGATCTTAATTATTTTCCACTATGGCAAAAGGTTATGGGCTAGTTTCAAGAAGATGTTCAATATAAACACTTGGATGTAAGAATGTACATCTGTCTAGTTAGATATACTTTTACCTGGGGAATGGTTCTAGCATTTAAATGCCTTTCCTATAATGCAGTGATTCTGGAAACACAGTGAACATAGGAGTATTGTGATGATTGAAAGTGGATGGCAGGGAGCTGGATATAGCTCAGAGTGCTTGTCTAACATTTATCAAGCCCTGGGTTCAATCCCCAGCACTGCACAAATTGGATTCGGTAGTGCATGCTTGTAATTACAGCATTAGCAAGTGGATGCAGAAGAATCAAGTTGATGGCCATCTTCAGCTACGCAGTTCAAGGCCAGCCTGGGCTACATGAAACCCTGTTTCTAAATAAACAAAGTCAGGCAGGTGGACTGGAAGTTTTGCTCAGTGACAGAATATTTAACTTGTTTTACAGAAGGCCCTGGGTTTGATCCCTGGAATCATGGAAAGAAGGTTAAATTACAGGCATAATCAAGTCAGTTCTTGGAAATGGATTTCAGAAGTATGAAGAGAAGGTGTTCCCATCTACTCTTCAGTACAGGGACATGACTTGTAAAGCTTAAGACTATCTGTTTTCATTAGGTCTACCGTTATGTAGAGAATACAAATGAGCTTTCATTGTTTCTGTTTTATGAACTCAAACAATCCATTCACTCAGAAGTTGAGGAGAGACTAGACGGGTGGATGGAAACATAAGGAAGGATGGGACAAAAGAAAGGCAAGAGAAAAAATAGACATTGATTCCTCCATGAACCTGAGGCTGTGGATTTATAAGAGCAGCATATGGGTATGAGCTGAATGATTCTGGAAATATTTAGAATTTTTAGAACCATGATTGTTCTGGAGACTTCCTTTTAATAAATCGGATTGTAAAGGATCAAATGTCAGGCCATTTTTATAACAAAACATGATCCGTAATGTGAACTTTGTTACCTTGTTTAGTAGAACCAACTGCTGCCAGTGTTTTTTTCCTCTATCCTTCCCTTGTCCCTGGAGACAGTAAACCTGGATATTAATAACTATAGCCTCTCCATGTCTACAGTATCTTTATTTCTTAAGTCCTTTTTTTTTTCATGTTGAGAAGGAATTCACATACTACATGAAATTTAAAAATTTAAAATTTAGCATTAAATGGTATTTAGTGGTCTGTGGATGTAGCTTAGTTGGTAGAGTACTTGTCTGGTGTGTATGAAGCCTTGGGTTTGATTCCCATTCCTTATAAACCTAGTATGGGGGTGAATCCTTGTAATTGGAACACTCAGGATATAGACACAGAAGAATCAAAATTTGAAGTTCATTGTCATCTCCATAGGAAGTTTGAGGCCAGCTTGGGATACTTTCAAAAAGTTGTTTTTTGTTTTTTAAGATTTTTATTTATTTATTATGTATACAACATTCTGCTTCCATGTGTATCTGCACACCAGAAGAGGGCACCAGATCTCATTACAGATGGTTGTGAGCCACTATGTGGTTGCTGGGAATTGAACTCAGGACCTCTAGAAGAGCAGTCAGTGCTCTTAACCTCTGAGCTATCTCTCCAGCCCTGGTTTTTGTTTTTTTATTTATTTATTTTGGTTTTTCAAGACAGAGTTTCTCTGTTGCTCCGGCTGTCCTGGAACTCACTCTGGGGACCAGGCTGGCCTCAAACTCACAGACATCCTCCTGCCTTTACCTCTGCCTCCACCACCACCTGGCTTTAATTTAGTATTTTTTAAAAGTATATTCATAGTGTTATAAACCTCTCTATCTAGATCTAAAACATTTTCATCCCTAAAAGAAAACTCGACTGAAGCAGTTATTCCTCATTTCCTCTCCATCCAGTGCCTTATAACTGTCATTCTATGTCTGAGTTTACTCACTACTCTTGTTGTCTTCCCTAGTGTGTTCATCATTTATTTATTATTGGACCTTTTAGTTGTTTCAAATTGTTGACTATATGGACAGTGTTGTGAGCATTCATATGAAAACATTTATTAGGTAACCATTTCCAGTTGCTTGGAGGAGTATACCAAGAATGAAATTGCTTTATCATGTAGTAATTCTATGTTATTTTACTTTCATCTTCTTTCTTTTCTTTTTGTGAGACACTGTATTCCTGGGTGGCCTTGAAGTCACTGTGTAGTCAGGTCTAGAATTTAACAATCCTCCTGCCTCTGAAGTATTGAGATTATGAGTGAGAACCATACATGGCCCCCTTTTTTATTTCTTTTTTGATAGCCATCTTTATGGGGGGATGAAAAGATATTTCATGCCAGGTGGTGGTGGCACATGCCTTTAATCCCAGCACTCAGGAGGCAGAGGCAGGTGGATCTCTGTGAGTTTAAGGCCAGCATGGTCTACGGAGCAAGTTCCAGTATAGACTCCAAAGCTACAGAGAAACCCTGTCTGAAAAAAACAAGCAAAAAAACCACCACCAACAAAAAAACAGAAGAAAAGATATTCTGATTGGTAATTCCTTTATGGCAAGTGAACATGCTAATTTTTCTTTTGCATATATTCTTTGGGAAAATATCTACTTAAATATTCTGTCCCTTTTTAATACATTTTTTAATTCATTTTACATGCCAACCATAGTTCTCCCTCCCTCCCCTCCTCCTCCCTGTCACCTCCACCTCCCCTTAACCCACCCCTATCCACTCTTCAGAAAGGGTAAGGCTTCCCATGGGGAATCAACAAAGCTTGCCATATTCAGTTGTGGCAGACCAAGCCCTCCTCCATCCTCCCTCCCCCCACACACACCAAGGCTGAACAAGGCATCCCACCATATGGAATGGTCTTCAAAAGCCAACTCATGCACCAGGGATAGATCCTGGTCTCACTGCCACAGGTCCCATAAACAGACCAGGCTACAAAACTGTCGCCCATATACAGAGGTCCTGGTTCAGTCCCATGCAGGAGCCCCAGCTCTTGGTCTAAAGTCTATGAGCTCCTGCAAATTGGGGTCAACTATTTCTATGCGTTTCCTGGTTATGATCTTGATCCCCGTTGCTCATATAATCTCTCCTCCCTCTTTTTGACTGTACTTCTATAGCTCAGCCTGGTGCTTGGATGTGTATGTCTTCATTACTTCCATCAGATACTAGATGAAGGTTCTATGATACCTGTTAGGGTAGTCCCTAATCTGATTACAGGGGAAAGATAGTTTAAGCACCCTCTCCACTATTGCTAGGGGTCTTAGCTAGGGTTATCTTGTGGATTCTTGGGAATTTCCCTAGCATCAGGTTTCTCCAGTTCCAAGAATCTGGCCCCTATTCTGATCTCCACAGTACCCAGTGTGTACACAGCACACATATCTGTGTATAAGAAAAACACTTAGAAACATTAAACCTTCTAAAGACCATGAAGTGGCTCAGTGGGTAAAGAATTTACTCAGCAAGCTTAATGATCTGAATTTTAACCCTGGAATCAAGAGAAATCCTGCCTCAAACAAGGTGGAAGTCAGGAAACAACTCCAGAAGTTATTCTCTAAATTCCACATACATGTTACAGCATGCATGTGTGTGTTTATGCACATATGTGTAAAATAAATTCTTTAAAAGTTCAAGATGATATTAGTCCCGTTTATCTTTTTTTGGTGAGAGGGTGGTTTTTACCCTCACCCTATCCCCCACCCCCACCCCCACCCCCACCCCACCCCACTCCCTGGCAGTCCCATTTATCTTAAGTCCTGGTATTGTTTGAATGACAAGCATTGGCCAGATATCATGGTAGGCAATAGATCCTAATTTGTTAACATTTCCATTTTTTAAAACCATCCGTAAACTGGGCATTGGTGGCTCATGCCTTTAATCCCAGCACAAGGGAGGCAGAGGCAGGGGGGGCTCTTTTTGTTTGAGGGCAGCCCGGGCTACAGAGGGAGTTGCAGGACAAACTCCAAAGCAATATAGAGAAACCCTGTCTTGAAAAACCAAAAAAAAAAAACAAAAAAACAAAAAAAACATCCATAAAGAAAATCCTACCTAGAGTCATACCATCTTGATGTTAGTACTGAAACCATGCCATTTTTGATGCCATTTTTTCCCATGGAAAAACTGGTAGTTAAATTAGCCTAGATGTGCATAATTACTCTGCATCTCTGTCCTAAAGTGTTTACAATTTCTGATCTCTGTTCTTCTCTTTTGCTTTTGAGTGGTTTCATACAATCTTTGATATACTTCTTGTACTTTTTAATGAAGCTGGTTCATGATTATCAACACCAGTGACTACTATTCTTTAAATACCTTTTTTTGTGGGGGTGCGGGGGTCGGGGGGTAGGTGATCTTTAGTGGAGGCATTTCAACCAGTGTTTGAAATTTCAACCATTTATCCCACCGACCATCTTGCCCTCCACCTCCAAGCATATGTCATAGAAAAACTTGTTATGGCTAATGAGGTCCTAATGGATGATCATGATGGTGACTAGAGGAACAGCACTAGTTTAGAAGGAGCTTAGGAAAAAGCAGATGGTGCCAGAGAAGCCAGAGCACTGCAGGGTGGAAAGGAAAGCCAGCGGAACAGGCTTATGTGGAAAGTACAACTAAGTAAGGTTAGCTAATTTTCCAGCTTCTGATAACTTGGATAATCAAAACCAAGTTATGCTTTTTATTGTTTTTTAAGTTAACAGTCTGGAGTGCTGAGACAGATAGGGTAGCACACAGCTGAGGTACATAAGAATCTGCCTTGTAACAAACTACAAAAGATTCTATGTGCTTAATATATTAACATTATTTTTATAATAACAGTGTTAGGCTGGGGATGTAGTTCACATGGTATAGTGCTTACCTAGCATTAATGGATATGGTCCTAGCACTTGGGAAATGGAGCCAGAGGACCAGGAATTCAAAGTCATCCTCAGTAACATAATGAGTTAGTGGCCATCCTGGTCTATATGACCTGCCCCCTCCTGCTTTCCTGTAGTAAGAGATCTTACTAGGTACCTGTGGCACTGAGCATGTGGGATTTCGGTTTGAGAGGAAGGATAGGGTTCCGGTCGGGTCTCAGAGGGCAGCTGAGATTGGATGCTTGGAATGCTGACCCTGGGTTATTTGTTTCTCATGTAAGTGATTTCTCCCCAGTAAAACTAACATGCTCACCTATGCACCTGTGACCACACCCATTTGGGCGAGGTCAGCCCCACAGGTACCTAGTAAGATCTCTCACTACACTTCCCCAAGAAGTCTAGGGGCTACTTTGATCAACCCAGTTCCTATCTACTGCTTCTTTAAGGGTTTTGTAATTCCTTACTTTGTGCATTTATTTGCCTGTATATAGAACTTCATATATCACACACATGCATAAATTATATTGTATGTCATTATTCTCTTGTTTTTGTTTTCATTTTTGTTTGTGGGGTGTCTTGCTATGCAGCCAGGGCTGGCCTGGAACTATGTGTATATTCCTTAGCCTCCCAAATACTAGTATTATAGAAGTGAGCCACCATGTGCCCAGTGGTCTTCTCTATTTTTTATAACTGCTTATAGCAGTATGTAACCTGTAACTAATAAATTTTCTCATACCTAGGCCTCAGAGACTTGAATGTGAAGTAAAAGACATGTTCATTTTGTCAAATTCTATTCCTGTTTAGCCTCTGGCCCCCAAGTTCATTGGACATGGCTCCACGTTTACAGCGGCGGAAGCCAAAGAAATCCTCACCAGTGACTCCCATGGTTGTAATCCCACCCACAGATGTGTCTCTGGAGCCTCCAAGCCTTTCAAAACCTGGCCCTAGCATTGATGCACTTGGCTTCATTTCCTTGGACAATAATGTACCAGGTCTGTCCCAGTTGATCCTTCAAAAGCTGAACATGAAAAGCTATGAAGAATACAAGTGAGTAACTAGTCTGTGGGAAGGGGTCTTAGTGTCCTTGGTACCATCATATCAGAATATGGAAAAGTATAATTGGAAATTTTCTCATTCTGACCTTTTTCACTTGTTAGTGTAGAAGAAATATAATTGCTTAAGAAAAATGGGAGTAGGATACATCTAAGATTACAAAAAGTCTATCCAAAGAGGAGGAAGCGCAGAAGAGATTTGAGAGATACTCTTCCCTGTTGCACTTTCTTCCATACTGTCTCTACAGGTTGGTGGTAGATGGGGGAACCCCAGTGTCAAGCTTTGGATTTCAGTCTCTGCAAGAAATGTTCCAGAGGATGGAGGACACCTTCCGATTCTGTGCTTACTGTAAAGCACTCCCTTATGGCCTTTCAGATCAAAAGGTTCTCCGGCACTGTAAGAGGTGACTTCTCGGGTGCTACTGGGGGACATTCAGAAATAATCCTATACTAAGTCCTCCTTCCAAGAGGAACAACCCTAAGAGTTTTCTGTTTGTTTTCAGAATGAATAGTTCCTCATTTTGTGTGGCCCCAGTTTTAATCCTGCTTTTTTTTGATATTGTGGGAGATGAAATAGCAGACACTCTTCCTACTTTCTTCTTGAGTACACACTAGATAAGAGCACATCTGTTAAGAGAAAGCATCAGCAAAGTGTGTGTAGGGAGACACTGTAGCTCCGCCCCCAGGTAACCCGGACAGGTGTGCCAAACACGCCTGTGAGGGTGGGGTGAGGGGAAGTCTAAGGTGAAGGCAGGAAGGCTTCTTAAGGGACTGTGGACACGTGGACCTCCCCTTCTGGCCCTGGTCCCTGCTCCCTCTTCCTGGCTTTGGCCTGCACTTGGCTGGTGTATCCGAACAAAGAGACCTTGACCCTATTGCCTGCCGGTTGTTCACTCCACACATGGCGCCCAACGTGGTTTGTTTATTGGGTTTTTTTTTTTTTTCTTGAAGTGAAAAACATAAGTTGTTGTAGATAGGCAGAGATGGACACACTCTAAGAATTGCATTCCTAATCTCTTACTTCACCTGCCAGCATGTCTCCCACATTTGGATTGTCATCTGTAATTTTTCTCCACGCCATCCTCACCTGTTTATTCATTGGCCTTTCTTCAAAGGTGAAGGTGTCCAGCCCTTCTCTGGACACAAACAATCACCTTTGTGATACAGGGACATGTTTCTTTGGTTCATTCTCTCAGGTGCAGGAATGTCTATTACTGTGATACAGAGTGCCAAAGGTCAGATTGGCCAGCACATAGGAAGGTTTGTCAAGTGCTCCGTCTTGTGGCTGTGGATCGTGTCATGGAATGGCTTCTGGTCACAGGTAGAGTAGCGGTATTAGGAAATTGTATCTCAGTGGCAGTTGTTGGTTATGGATAGAAAAAAAAGCATGTTGTTTTAAGGGGAAAATGAGAAACTGGGAAGTAATGGGGTACTTGTAGTTTAGTTACTGGTTGGCAGAATAAATATGAATTACTGAGAAGGGAAATTTTAAGCCAAGGATTTGCTGTTTATTATTTTTTAAATTATGGGTATTTGTGTATGGGTTTGTGCATGTGAGTGCAGTGCCCCTCAAGACTGGAAGAGGACATAGCATCCCCTAGATTTGAAATTACAGACAATTGTGAGCTTCCCAGTTTGGCTGCTGGGAACAAAACTCAGGTCCTTTCCAAGAGCAGTGTGCTTTCTTCTTTCCAGCCCTGTTCACTTACTCCTTCTGCCCTACAGGTGATTTTGTCCTACCTTCAGGACCTTGGCCATGGCCGGCAGAAGAAATACATGATTGGGATACCTGGTTTTCTATAAGGGGTTTACAGCTAGAGTCTACAATGAATGCTGTTCTCAGTAGCCATGCTATGACCATGCTTTGGGCCAATCTAGGAAGGCCACGGCCAGAACCAGATGTCCTGCACAGCTCTTTGAAGAGGTTAATGACAGATGTTTTGTCACGGCCCTTGACCCTGGGCCTAGGGCTTCGAACTCTGGCCATAGATGCTGGGAAGACTGGGGGATGCACATTGCATGTAGTTGGTGCTTCCCACGTGGAAACATTTCTCATTCGTTCTGGAGATTATGATGAGCTTGGCTACATGTTTCCTGAACACCTTGGCCTCCATGTGATCATGGTGGGTGTGGATGTGAGTACTAACCTTTTACAGAATTCCTCACCTTTACCCCTGGAACCTGGAACAATTCAGCTTAGTGGCCACAAGGCCCTGTATCATGACTTCTGGGAGGAGCAGATAGAGACTGGGAATCTGGCCCATCCAGATTTGGTGGCTGCATTCCATCCAGGTAAGAGCTGTTCATTCAGAGAAATGCTAAGGAGCTGATAATTTCCCACCATGCACTTACGCTTCAGTTAGGGTTTCTGTTGCCGTGATGAAAACACCATGACCAAAAGAAAAGTTGGGGACGAAAGGGTTTATTCAGCTTATACTTCCACATTTGTGGTCCATCACTGAAGGAAATCAGAACAAAAAAAAAAGGACAGGAACCAGAAGGCGGAGCTGATGCAGAGGCCATGGAGAGTGCTGCTTACTGATTTGATACTTGTGGCTTGCTCAGCCTGCTCTTTTTATAGAGCCCATGACTTTATAAAAGTCATACAATGGGCTGGGCCTTGCCCCATCAATAAAACTGCCTTTCAGCCTGATCTTATGGAGGCATTTTCTCAATTGAGGCTCCTTCCTTTCCAATGACTCTAGCTTGTGTCAAGTTGACATAAAACTAGCCAGGACAACTTATTATCTGTTTTCATTTGGTCCTTATCAATTTCTTTTTGTCCTCATTAAATACAGTGTAATGATGAGCTTGGTTGATCATTTCCCATACATATTTCTTTGGTTCACAATCTTATTGAAGAACTTGGGCAGTTCAAGATGGTGAGAATTAGGGATGAAAAACATGGAGGTTGAAAAGATAAAATCAAAGGAGTGTCATGCTCTTAGGATATACCTCAGCCTTTCTCCCTTCTCTTCATGTTTCATTCTTGTTCTTCAGGTTTCCATGCCTCCCCAGTCTTGATGGAAGCTTGGCTACCTACCCTGCTGCTGCTTCGTGATTATGAGATCCCTACAATGATTACTGTTTACAGGTTTTTACCTACTTCTGTTTTTGATCCTTTCCTGACTCACTTTTTCCTGTACACAGATGAACCCATTTTGATTCCCCTTGTCCATCTATCTTAGGAAGGTGTTCTTCCTTCCTGCATGTGGCTCTAAAATAAATTTCTGGGAACAATCCTTTGTTACATAATCTGGGATTTAGTGAGACATTTGGGAAGGAAAAATAACCCTTGCCTAGTATAGCTTTAAAAATTTCTGAGATCATGAATTGCCATGCACTTGAGCAATTTCTACTCTCTCATAAGTACTTGAGGGATTTTCCTTCTCTCTTCCCCAGCCAACAGGAATTGGAAGCCTCTCTGCAGATCCTGGTGAACTTGGATATGCACATCATTGCTTGTGGAGCTAATCCTTTCACATCCCTCAAACCTGAACAAGTCTATTCTAACCCCAATAAGCAGCCAGTATACAGCAGTGCCTACTACATCATGTTTCTTGGAAGTTCCTCCTGCCAACTAGATAAGAAACAATTAGAAAAAAAAGCAGGCTAGGTGGTGGTGGCACACGCCTTTAATCGAAGCACTTGGGAAAAAGAGGCAGACTGATCTCTGTGAGTTCAAGGCCAGCCTCGTCTACAAAGCAAGTTCCAGGACAGGCTCCAAAACTACACAAAGAAACCCTGTCTTAAAAACCAAGGAAAAAAAAAAGAAGAAGAAGAAGAAAAAGCAGATAATTTTTGAATAATTGAACCAAATCCTAACTGAATGCCTGAAAAACAAAAGCTTAATCAATTTACCCTGTTGATGTTGAATTGTTGTCAGCTTTGAAACCAAGTAAAAATTCTAAACCAATGAGAGCTCAGTATGACGACTCGTTTCTGGTTTCTGGTTTTTCCTCATCTTGGTAATTGAACCCAGGGCTTTGTATATGCTAAGCATGTGCTTTACCACTGAGTTACATTATTACCAGCCCTCTTTTGTAATCTGTTTGTTTTGAGATAGTGTCATTAAGTAGCCTAGGCTGGCCTTGAATATACTAACATATGCCTCAGCCTCACAAGTTACAGGCCTGTACAAGCTTGATTTAACTTAATATCTAAAAAGTTAGCTATGATTGTGTGTGTGTGTGTGTAAATGGCTCACTGTGCTTTTGCCACAGCATCCAACAAAGTTGGAACTATATATGCATTTCCCACTGCACGTGGATCTGTTGGGGCTTCTTAAATTACTTGTTTTATTTCCTATTTACAGTCAAATACTACTCACCTGCACAAAAGACCTTAAAATTAGAGGATTCTTTCTTGCCAAGGGAGTGATTAGCATCAGCTCTCTTGTTTGTACCTTCCACACTACTGCACATCTGCAATGTCCTTATCGTTCCAAGGATTAGGAAATCCATAGCTGTTCATCTTTAGAGCCTTGCCATGACCTTCATGTGCACGCATAATATAACTTTGTTTCCCACAACAGACATATGTGCTCTTTTTTTGTTGTTTTTTGTTTGTTTGTTTGTTTGTTTATTGAGGAAGGGTCTCTCTATGTAGCCCTGGCTGTCCTGGAACTCAATCTGTAGACTTTGGCCTCAAATTCAAAGATCCACCTGAATGGTGGCGCACGCCTTTACTCCCAGCACTGGGGAGCAGAAGCAGGCAAATCTCTGTAGATCAGGCTGAAGAATAGACTTTTCAACAAATGTTGCTGGAGCAATTGAATATCCACATGCAAAAGAATAGAGTCAGAGCCCCAATATGATATAAAATGAATTCAAAATGTGTTGTTGGGCGTGCCTATAATTCCAGTACAAGGCAGGTATGTATGGTAGGAGGTTCAGGAATTGGAGGCTGTCCAGGCTACATAGCAAGACTAAAGACAAGAAGCCCTAGTATCAGGAGATAGAGGCAAAAGAATCAGGTCAAGCTCATGGCGGCAAAGCAAGTTTAAGGCCAGTCTAAGCTAATATGAAGACTTAGCGTCAGATATTCCTTAAAATGGTTCAGAGACCTAAACAACTTACATGCTTAGAAGAAAATATAAGTAAATCTTCATAAACTTTTATGTTTTCCTAGATTATTATACCAGAAGCACAAATGTTGGCTGTTCATGCTGACTCAGGAGGCCAGATGAGGGAGGGTGGCTTTCTCTGTGCCAGTACAGACTCCCCATGTAGGCCCTGCCCATGGAGATTTCTAGCCTTCACCACCAATCCCTGCCTGAGCTTGCCCCAAGATCAGGCCACATAATCCCTCCAATTCCAGTCCACCCTGGATAGCTCCTGGACGCCACCCCACACCCAAGAAAACCCTATATAAAGGTCAGTTTCTCTGCTGCTGCTCACCCAAGCAGATACCCATCTTCCCTCCTGTGCCTTTCCCAATAAGTCAATCTCTTGAGTGAGGTTTGTTGTATTCATCAAGAAAGTGAAAGCACCTGGGGCCAGTAAGATGGCCCAGTGGTTAATGGGCCTTGCAGCCAAGCCTGAAAGACAAGGTTGCATTCTCAGAACCTACATGGTGCAAAGGGAGAAATGTCTCCTCTAGGTTGTCCTCTGACCTCCACATGTGTCCACACAAATACATCTTACACAAATATGCATTAAAGGAGTGTGCCGAGGTGTTCTGAAGGCCCTTTCCTCCACACCTGACCTGAGTGCTTACCCCAAAGCCTTAAAACCTGAATTCCATCCCTGGGACCCACATGGTAGAGGAAGAGAACCAATTCCTGCAAGCTGTGCTCAGCATGCATACCCAAATACATGTTTTGTTGTTGTTGTTGTGCAAGTGGAGGACATGCTGGGGAGATAGCTCAGTCAGGTGGAAGTGGAAGCCCTTAATTCAGCACAGAGAATGCAGACCCTCGAATCCCAGGAGCTCACTGGCCAGCAGTCCCAGTGAGACCAACCTTTAAAAAAAAAAAAAAAAAAAAAAAAAATCAAGCCCAGATGAATGGTTGGTTGACGTCTAACCTCGACTTACCGCGTAACCGGTTCTTTACATATAACTGCCTCAAACATTTAGTTCTACAGTGAATTTAACACACTAATGAACAAATAGAACCTTGAATCAATTCTCCTCTGCGTAGTTTTTGCCTAATTCAACTCCAGTTCCGTATACCCAGAATTCCCTATAACTAATCGCAGGAGGCAAACACACCCTGGGTACTCCAGATACCTCGAGGGCCTGGAGCTCACCGGCCCTCGGAGCCCCTCCGCGCTGTCCACTGGAGACTGAGGGAGCGAAAGCTGCAGCAGCTTCCTGAGTTTGCCTGGACCACCAGGAGTGAAGGGAATGCACAGGGACTTGAACACGTGGTCAAAACAGCTGAGCCACCTGAGGGGAGCTGGGTCCCGCCCGAGCTTGTGGGCGGTCCGGCGGCCAGCATCCTCGCTCCGCCCCGCGCCACGCCCTCAGGCCCTCCCTGGCTCCATATTGCGGGGAAAGCGGGCCGGGCGGTGACGCTGCTCCCTCCTTCAGGTGAGGACTTGCACCCCCTCCCCTTGTGGTTCTCCCGCCGGCCAGTCAGCCGGCTCCCGGTCTGTGGTCTGGCCTTCGTTCAGGAATGGTGAAGCCCCACTCGTGTTGTAAGCGGGCTGGGCCTCCGGGTGGTGGAGACCCAGGTGGTGGGGCGCGCCGTTTCGGGTGCTGGGTTGGGTTGGGCAGGCTTGCCCTGCGTGCGGGAGGACTCAGGAGGCCTGTTAGGCTTGGCAGAGTGGGGATGCCAGGGAGCTGTGGCACCCCGCTCTCGAGCAAGTGGACCGCAGGTGGAGGACTTGAGGCTAGAGGGTGGCCCCGGTGAAGCGCCTCCCCGGAGGCCAAGTAAGAACAGCACCGAAAGCCGAGTCTGGCTAGTGACAAGACTTTTTGGTGACACAGCAAATTTAGAGGAACTTGGGGGAAATTATGCTGTACGTAATGACATCTAAGACAGAATTCACAAGCCTGAGATGTAAGCTCGTGCTTAAAATTCTTAGAAACTATTCTAGGAAGTAACATTCTAGATTTCATTCCTGGTCCTTGACCCGCATCAGCCCGAGGAAACCGAAGTGCAAAGGTGCACTGAGGTGCAGAGGGTACAAGGTATCTTACTGCTAACCCATTACAGTCCCCAATTGCTGCCAGGTGACAGTGAGCCATTCTGATAAGGTAATCTGTTCCAATTACAGAACAAGTGTTAGGTTTTTAACAGGGTATCTTACTGCTAACCCATTACAGTCCCTAATTGCTGCCAGGTGACAGTGAGCCATTCTGATAAGGTAATCTGTTCCAATTACAGAACAAGTGTTAGGTTTTTTGCTTAAATTAGAAATAAGGGGCGCAAGATGAGACATGAGACTAAGAGACATGTTAATGAGTTTATTATATCATGGAGAGCGAGTGAGAGAGAAGTAGAAGAGAGGCGGAGAAGAGGCAGCGAGAGAAGAGAAGCAGAAGAGGGCGTAAGTGGACAGGGGTCTGCCTTTTAGAGGGGTCCTCTACACCTGAGTGCGGACTTAGTTCCCATGGAACCCTGGGCTGACCAGGGGACTGCCTGAGTGGATTCTGCCAGATAACAGGAGCAGGCCAGGATAATGCCTGAACCTTTGAACAAGTATAATGAGCTCCACTAAGACAACGAAAACATTAGAAGCCGTGAATAATTTTGCCCTTGCAAACTTAAGCCACCTCTCAGGGCTCAGGTTGAATAAAGGACCACCTACCCTTGTAGGGGACTGACTAGTCTTGTTTCTGTGTTATTTATTCCGGCCAATGATTGCTTCAAATGGCCCTTCTGGAACCTACAGAAGCAACTTTTGGAAAACTGCATCTGTCCTTGCCTAAGTCACACTTCCTGTTCCTCCTCTTTGCCCCACCCCCATCCCCCATCTTGTGTTCCTAGGCCTCTTGCCAATTGAGACAGACACATAGAAAGACCCACCCTTTTACTGGCTGACTCACTGGGTGGAGATGGTTTGAAGAACCAAGAATGAATTTTCCAAGTTTTCCAAAGTTTGTTTGTAACATAGAATGTTAAAGGGAAAACAAAAGCTTTAGTTCACTCGTTAGAGTACTGTTATTTGAGCAGAATTGAGTAATTTGTTTGTCATCACACTAACAGTGTTTAAAGGGACTAAAAGGACATTGAAAAGTAAGCTGTTATTCCCCAGTGCTTTCTCAAGGGTGCCACCACCTTTTTCTGCTTCAGTGTGTGTGCTTTTAGTGAGATTGTCTGCATAGAGAAGAAAATGGATCTATTTCTTTACTCAGATGCTCACAAACTGCCTATGCAGTTTTCCACCTTGCTTTTTTTTCACTTAACATGTGTGGTACATACTTTTATATATGGATTTTTAAGGCTACCGCAATTTTAGAAATGGAATAGCACTTTGTAGATATTCATGTGTTTCACTTGTCTCAGTGTTTACATTGTTTTTGACAGCTCTTCATATTTCAGATGAATACTATAATGAATAGCCTAGTACGTGCATGAATATGCATTTGTGAAGGTATTTCTATGACCTATATAGAAATGTAATTTCATTCTAGTATTTAATATTCTTCAAAATGCACTGAAATTGTTTCAAATTTTCATATTCTACTACCTAGATAGTCTTTTATCTTTGTTTTGTTTTGAAAATCTTGGTATAATTTCTCTAGGTCCTTAAAGATTTAAGTAGCTGAAAATGTAGAAATAGGACTTCGTCACTAATCCATTCTTTTGTCTGTGTGTGTGCATGCACGTGTGTGCAAGTTTGGGGGGTTGGGGCACCCGCCACAATGTGCATGTGGTGGAGGTCAAAGGAAAATGTTGTCTCTTCCAAAGTCAAGCACACCAGGCCTGGAAAAGTGGGCATTCTGTTCGTCTCTGCCTCCCATCTCACCACAGAGCGCTGGAATTAGAGACTTGCGCTACCTTGCCCAGCTTCTGGGGATCTGAACTCAGACCTTCAGGCTTTGGTAGCAGGCACTGTAGAGTCATCTCCTGCCCCAGTCTCTCTCTCTCCAGTGGTGCAAATAAGCTCTCACTAACACTCCCTCTCCCTCTCCTTCCTTCTCCCTGCCTCTTCCTCCTTTTTCCCTCCACCCGCTCCCTCCCTCCCTCCTTACCTCTGAAGCTACTATATCAGCTCTTTAACCTTTTTAAGAGTGCAGACAGTTCTGCCTGGGGGACTAGAGATGGCTAATAGGAAAGGAAATGCTTACCTGCAAGTCTGAGGGCTGCAGCTGCCAGGTGGCCATGCAGCCCCCCCTGTAATCCGTCAGTCAGTCTGATTTCACTAGACTAGCTGAATCCAATAGCTCTTCGTTCAGAGGGAGTCCTTGCTACAGCAAATGAAGTAGACAATGATCAAGAAGACTCCCGACAAAACCTCTGGTCTACATATACTAATTTGGGTTCAGGCAGGAGGCTTACAGCAGGCAGATAGGGGCTTTGCTAAAAAGTTCTGATCTGAGGGCCAAAAGGAAGTAAACCGGCTCACACACGTGTTCCTTTCATGGCTCTTTATTTTTCAAAGAAATGTTCTTCCCAAAAATTTCTTTTCAAAAAAA